GAGAAGACAGTAAAAAATGATCAATGGTTGCCAGGAGTTGGGGGGAGGGAAGGGATGAATAGGCAGAGGAGTTTAGGAAGGAAAAACTCTCCTGTATGATAATATAATGGTGCATACATGTCATTCTGCATTTGTCCAGACCCACGGAATGCACAACACCAAGGGTAAACTCCAATGTGAACTCTGGATTTGGGGTGAAAATGACGTGTCAGTGTAGATTCATTGATTGTAACATATGTACGCCCCTGGAGGGGGATGTTGATAGTGGGAGGCTGGAGGCTGTGAGCGTTTAGGGTTGGGAGGTGCAATGAGAATGCTCTACTTTCTACTCAGTTTTACTATGAACCTGAAACTGCTTTAAAAAATAAAGCCTATTAATAATAATAAAACAATCTTGAAGACAACCTCAGGTTTTGGTAGATAGTCCCTAAACTGAGAACCGTATTTTAGGTTCTCTTCCTGGCTCTGTCCCAAACACAGTGTGTCTTTGTGTATGATCATTTCCCTCTCTGGGCCTCAGTTTCATGATCTATAGAATGAAGAAACTAGTTTATGCTCCAGGTTCTATAAGCCTCTGACATCTAAGAATAAAAGGAGAGGAAGGAAAGAAGGAGAGACAGAGACAGACAGAAGGTGAAGGGGGAGGTGGTGAAAGGAAGGAAAGGGGAAGGAAAATGGGAAAAACAACCACAAAGTCATCAAGTGGTAGATAGGGAACTAAGGAAGAAGTCAAATTGAACCAGGGCCATCAGCAGTATCCGCTTTGGGTAGATACGGCCAGGAAAGTGGGTTGGCCCACATCTGTGCCTTCAGTCGTACCTGATCCGAGACAAGCTCTAATGCCCCAAGGGAGACTGTTACATTTATTTGATGAGCACTAAGTGAGAGAGAATTCTGTGCTGTGCTAGGTACACTAACCCAGCCAGGGAAAAGAAATGTCTATATATAAATACTAGCTTAACAGTCTACAGTTTGCTTCTGAAGTCAGACAGATCTGGGTTGGCTGATTGGCTGTGTAAGGTCATCAGGTGAAAGATGGCCCCAAAGATATCCGCCTCCCAATCCCAGAATCTGTGACTGTCACATTATATGGCACTTTGCAGATGTGGTTAAATTAAGACTCTCAAGATGAGATTATCCTGATTATCTAGGTGGGCCCTAAATTAATCGCAAGCATCCTTCTAGGAGGGAGGCAGAGGGAGGTGTGATGACAGACAACAGGAAACCATGTGATAGACTCAGAGTCAGAAAGAAAAGCCACCGCATGAAGATGCAGGAAGGGCCACGAGCCAAGGAAGGCGAGGAATGCAGCTCTAGAAGCCGGAACAGACAGGGAGACATACTCCCCCTAGAGCCTCTGGAGGGGCTGTGGCCCTACCAACACCTGACATTAGCCCATTGAAACTGATTTTAGGGCTGGCACCCAGAGCTCCAAGGGCACAAGCTTGTGATGTCCTCAGCCACCAAGTTGGTGGCAGTGTCTTAAGGCAGCCTAAGGAAACGAATATGAGCAGAGGCAAGGCTTACCTCCCTGAGCCTTACTCCCATCTGTTAAATGGGAACAATAATACATTCATTCATCAGATGTTTTTTGAGAGCCTACCGTGGGCCGGCCCTATGCACTGGGGATGCCAGGTGACCAAGGCCTTCCTGTTTTCACGGAGCTTAAATTCTAGTGCGAGGAAACCAGAACATCAGCAAGACCATTACGCACTGTGCGAAGCAACATGAGAGTAAATGGTGGGTGTGGGGCACAGTAACTAGGTGGCCGGGGGCGCTTGCTTTGGACAGGCAGAAAAGGAGAAAAACAGAGTTAATTGGAGAACAAAAAGATAGCTGGTGTGGCTGGATGTCCTGTTCCAGGGAGAGGGACAAGGTTAGGCTGTGAGGGGGCAGGGCCCAGAGCCACCAACGGGAGGGGTCTGGGTGGTATTCGCAGGACCGCTGGGAGCAGGGAGGAGGCTTTAGGCAGAGGAGTGGCATCATCACTGGCCGCTGTGAGGACATAGATTTTAGGTGGGGAAGAGAAAGGCAAGAACACTCCCTAAGGAGTTCCCACTGTCTTCCCAGTGAGAGGTGGTACCGGCTTGGAGGAGGGTGAGGGCAGTGAGGATGAAGGATGCCAGAGTGTGAAGTAACATAATGAGTGTGGAGTGCCTGGCACATAGGAAATGCCCAATAAGTGGAAGCCTTCATTGTGGGATTATTATCATCACCACCACCATCACCATCATCGTTATTCGCATCTACGGAACACAACTCATACTTGGTACAGCATGAGCAGAGTTGGCACTGCAGCAGGTGAGAGAGACCCCATGGTGTCTTCATTCCTGTCCCCCAAAAGAAGCAACTTCTTCTGAAGCCGCTGACTTTCTCCCCCTCCCTGGTCCATCTACCTCCCCCCTCCCCAAGTCCAGAATCCTAGAAAAGTGCCCACACCCACTTACACAAACACACCATCTAGGAGCCATCTAGGAGCTCTGAGGGATAGTTTTTGATATTAAAAACGGCATGGTAAGCCTGGTGGACCTTTGGAGATTAGATCTGATACAACTTTTTAAATCTATAATTAGATCTGTGTGCTCGTCGCAGTATCATTGACTGGGTCTTTGTCTGTCTGTCTGTCTGTCTGATACACACAGACACACACATACCTCCATCTCCACCAGCACCCCGACAGTCCAAGCCCCATCACCTCGCACGTGGTGAGCAGTCATCTCCTCAGTGGTCTCCCTTCCTCCTGTCTTGCTCTTCCTTCACTGCGTCTCCACACAGATCACTCAGAGCACACTTCGAATAACATCCAGCCCCTTGCCGGGACCTGCACACCCCTCGCCTGCCTGTGCCCTTGTCTGACCTCTGTTCCCTGCACTCCCGCAACTCCCCTCCCTGGCCTCCTTTCACACTCTGCGGTGCCCTCCCCTGGGCCCTCTCCCTTCCCAGCCCTGCCTGGAACACACTGCCAGCTCCTCTCCCTGCCCCCGTCCCCAGTTTCCCCACAGCTGGCCCCTTCTCTGCTTTTTTGTTCTTGGCTCCGACGCCATCTTCTCAACGTCCTTCCCTGACAAATTTACCTAGATTGCCTCTCCCTTCCCACCCCACTTATCTTCCTTGACAGCACTGTGCTCATTCCTTTCAAGGCATTGACCACAGTTTATGATTATCGTTTCTCCTTTATGTCTGGTTCCCACGCCAGGCAGGTTGTCACGGACTGAATGTTTGTGTCCTCCCAACATTCAGATGTTGAGGCCATAAACCCCCCCCCACCCCACCCCCCGCAAAGGAGTAGTTTGTATTCATTTCCACCAAGTTGTACAGCTCCAGGCAAGGCCCCTCCCAGCCTTCTGCCTCAGTTCTCTAAACTATTAAAGGGGGGCAATAAGGTTTCCCCCATAGCACAGTGGAACTCAAACTCTGGCCAGTATCAGAACCACCCAGGGAAGTTGGTCTAAATGCAAACAAAGGCCCAGATTCTCCCAACTTCAATGAGTCAGAGTCTCTCTGTGTTTTAGTTCCTCCCTAGATGCTTCTGATAGCTGCCAGCTTTCCAAACTGCCACTGACGAAGCAGAAACGAGGCCTGCTGTTTACTCTAAAGGGTCAGAAAAGATGATTATCACTGTTTAAATCCCACTTATTCCACCCTCTATGGAGATACCGAGTGAGGCTGCTGCCTGCGTCCCAACCCAAGGGAAGCGGGGCATGCAGCCCAGCGGCCAGTGGGGATGAAAAGCACAAGCACCGGGGTCCTCAGTGCTTCGGAAATGCCCTACAACTTCGTACCCATTTCACAAAGTGGGGACAGAGAGGAGCAATACCTTTCCCAGGGTCACCACAGATTCATGGTAAGAGCCACCATGGAACCAAGAGCTACAGGTGCCTGGGCCAGTGTTAAAGGGCTTGTTTTGGAAGTCCCTCCCCCCCATCCTGGAAGAAGACCTCTTGCCCACTGACAGGTGGCACCAGCTGGAGGTCTGCGGGCAGCGCTCTGCCAGTTGCCTGTTCGCTGACGACGCCCGGGCAGGGCCCCAGCAAATTCCCGAGTCCCAGCAGCTCCTTTCCCGAAGGTCTGAAGATTAACTCAGGCGTCTCGCAACCCGGGGAGGAAAACAGGAACTAGCCCCATATCTAAACGTCTCAAGCTCCTTGACAATCTTATTTCTCCATCTTGTTGCCTAAGTGGGAACACAGATCCGTTGAGGGGTGTGGGGTGAGAGCCGAGATTAGAAGAGAAAGGTAGAGTCTCCATGCTGCGGCGAGGCAGACCGGACCAGAGGCTGCAGCCTGCTGTCCCACAGACGGTGCCAGACCAGCGAAGAGAGGCCACTTCTCAAACCACAGTGTCCCAGTCTATTCGGGGCAAGGCACTTGAAGGGTGGGGCCAGGGTTCAAACCAAGGGGTTGGTGTAGTGGTCAGAGCCACAGGCCTCAGAGACAGAACGATCTGGCTCGGGTTGATTTGGGGCTCTGCCGAGGATTGGCTGTGACCTCGGGCAAGCTATTCTTTACCTCTCTAGGCCTCAGTTTCCACATCTGTAAAAACAAAATGGCAGTGCTACCCAGAGAAGTAGCCAGGCTTTTCGGAGCCTGACGCTTATGCTGCTTGGTGGGTGGGGGGGTATCGGTAAGGGGTGGGATAGGCCTCTTTAAGAATCAGAATACCAAATTACAAATTCAGAATTGCCCACAGGACCTTGGAAGGGGTCCCATGGAAGGGAGGGCCCGGACAAATCTGTCTCGGATGCTACCAGTTGGCTGAGAGATCACTGGAGCAAAGCCCTCAGCCCGTGAGATGATATTACAGGACGGGTATGGCTTGAGTAAAACGCTATAATTTTGAAGGAAGGAGGAAATCTTGGCCCGTTCATCTGTCACTGAAGCAGAGATAATGACAGAGCGTGGAACACTAGAGAAACCCCCTCAAGGCCTTCTTTAGTTACAGAGTTCAATCCTGAATGTCATGTGCGACCTTAGGCAAGTCACGTGCTCTCCAGGCGCCAGTGTCCTGCCCAGTGTAATGTGGCTGGCTCGGCTCTCTCCCTGGAGCCTCACAAAAGCTAAGAAGCAGCTGGAGGTGGGTGAGTGCTTGCTCCTTTTTCTCCCAACTTTTCCCAAGGAGGGGGAGCACCCAGAAACATGCCTTACAGCAGACGTCAGCCAGTGGGAAGCGGAGCCCCCGGCCTGGGATGAATAAGGAGATGGGGTATATAGGTATTCTCCTGGAGACAGAAATAGGGTGTTAGTTAAAAAGGCTGCCTGGTGGCTCAGTCAGTTAAATGACAGACTTCAGCTCAGGTCATGATGTCGCGGTTCACGAGTTCAAGCCTCACATCAGACCCTGTGCTAACAGCTGACAGCTGACAGCTCAGGGCCTAGAGCCTGCTTCAGATTCTGTGTCTCCCTCTCTCTCTGTCCCTCCCCCACTTGTGCTCTGTCTCTCTCTCTCAAAAATAAATAAAAACATAAAAAAACAAAAAACCTGCCAAGTTGGGCTCTGGTCCCTACTCTGTCACTTTCTAGCTATGCAACTTCGGGCAGGTCACTTTGGTTCAGAGTCTGATTTCCTTGTCGTTTAATGTATAGGATTAAATGAGAAGATACAGGTAAAAGCCTCAGGAGAATGTCTGTCTCTAAGTGAAGGGCTCCATACATGTGAGTTCTTAACAATAATGAGTATTGTAGTCACTGCTATTGGGTGAGGTGGATGACTCCCCTCCCAAGTCCCTTCCTGCCTCTCCTGCTCCAGCCTCTCTCGCACTGGGCTCCTTTGGGCAGGAGGAGCATGCTCCGGGGGAGGTGGGCGGGTCCTCATTCCAGCTTGGCCAGAGCCTGCTGAGGCATGAGCAGCTGCTGAGCCGGGGTTTGCACCTGACGGACACCTTCCTGCTTGCCTCCTTCCAGAGCAGACCTCCTCATCACCCGGAGCCCTCTCTCTCGGAAGCAGTCATGCCTGTGACAAAGAGTGCCAGGGGCCCCCAGGAAGCTGCTGACCTCAAACTGGACCTCACGTACCCACCCCAAAGTGCCAAGGAGCTGCAGAGCAAGGACTCCAGTTTCTGGGATGGACGCTCTTCCGAGTCGCCAGGCTTAGAGAAAACCAAAGGCATAACGTGAGTGCTCTTGTCTGCCACCCCCATGTCCGCCTTTCAGCCTGGACACTTGCATTGACAAAAACCCTCGAGTAGCCACCTCTGACCACCCCCCCCAACCCATTGTGCAGATGGGAAAACTGAGGTCACAAATGGTGCAGTCGGAGACTGAGACAAGATGAGAGCTCACGGGGCAGGAGCAGAGACTCGTGGTCCCGCTCTCCACAGGTGCAGGTGGGGACGTTAAGGCCTGGTTACCCCAGGCCACACACTGGGCTGTTGGCAGGAGGGGTGCTAGAATCCCGTGCTGGCCCTGTCAGTTTTGTTCCTGGTCAATCCCCATCATTGGGAAGGGGGGGGCAGAATCCCCAGCTTCTCAGAAAAGAAGGGGAGATCTGAGCTTAAAACCACAGTGGCCTCACCAACAGCCAAGCGTTACTCACCACCCACCCCCGTCCTCAAGATACCCTGGTCTCTACTTCGGCCTCTACTTCAATGGTGAGGACGTCAAAAGCACAGTATGTGGAAGACTGTCTTCCACCTCCTCGGGGTGTGTTTGAGAGTGGAGGAGGCTTACGGACCATGAGAAGGAAGCGTCTGCAGAAGGGGTTTAGGTGGGGAAGCCAAGCTCCAGGGCACAGCAACCTCTGCATCCACCACACTAGCAGAGTGGCCGGTTCACTTAGGAGATGTGGGTGAGGAGGCGGTGGAGAGTGCCGCTGCTTCACGAGAACCTGTTGACCCCGCTGGTATAGCAGCAAGAACACCTGCGTTCACCTTGTGATTCTGCACCTTCCCTTCCCTAAGCCTCAGTTTTCCCCATATGTAAAATAGGGTTAAGTTGTGGCAGTGCGAATCCTGTGGGGATTACATCTGAAGGGAGGGGGTGTGCAGCAAGGAGGGTCTGCAGAGCTCCTTTCCATCGCCTCAGTGCCAGGACCAGGACCGTGTGGACACAATGACTCCACCAGACAGGGCTCAGCTGCCCCACGGCTAATCCTGGGGGCTGTGGATTCCTGACACTGAGGGGGAACTTTCCAGGCCCTGGGGCCATCCTCTGCTGAGGAGGGCTATTTCTCAATCAGAGGCCTTCGGGGAACCAACTAGCTCTTGCGTCTTAAACCGACACATGGTTTGGTGGCAACTTCAACTGCTCAAGAATCAAAGAAATAAAAGCATGAGAGAACTAGAGGTGCCCTCCGTGGCTTGGAGCGAAAGAGAAACAAGTCAGGCAAGCATGGAACTCACATTTCCACTTAGCTGCTAACCAGCCTGAGCAAGTGACAGAACTTTCTCTGTGCCCCAGTTTCTCCTCTGTGAAATGACACGTCGCTCCTCCCAGGATGGCTGCAAAGGTGATTCGTGCATAAAGCCCTCAAGCACAGCACCCTTAAAAGCTGGATGCTGTGAATCCCAGTAAGGTCCAAGGTCAACAAAAGGTAGGGCTATAGAACACGGGTTCTCCCAGGCAGGTGCTTGGTGCCCAGCTCACCCCATTAAGTTTTTAAGTTGGCTGAGTAGCCCAAAGTTAAATTCTGATTTCCTAAGTCCTTTGGTTAGAAATTTCTAAAGTGACCTACTGACCCTTTCCTTGTTGCAAAATAAGCCCATTATTGGAGAGCCGTGGGGGCTAGTGCTCAGTCAGCGATGTTGACACCCACAGGGAGAGAGAAAGGCACCCGGCTCTCCTCCACCCTCTCTCCCTCAATTGTTCTCTTTAACCCTTAACAAATAGACAGGCAGATCCTCAGAAAGCCATGGATCTGGAGATCAACATAAAGATGAGGATGGTTGGGGCAATCCTTTAAAAATCTCATTCTTCCCAACATTCCAGCATTTGCAGAGGCTTAGCAAAGTAGATGAGTTGCCCAAGATGACACAGCTAGTTAAGTAGTGGCCTTGGGATTTAATCCCAGGTTTGTCCAACCTCAGAGGCCAGGCTCCTTCCAGAATATGTCTGCTGCCCTTCACAGTCAGTGTCCTTGCTAGAAAGCTCCCATAGAGAATTTCCCATGTTTCTAAAGTTGTGGATGTAAACCCAACACCCACCTTGGTTTAACTTGCTGCACGTACAAAGAGGTATAGCGATAGGTTGTTTTGTAATTCACCTCCCTGGAACTTAGCCCTGAAAGTGTCCTTCAGACCACCTTCCCATCTCTCTTAAAGAAGGGGTCTGAGTTTTCGGTTTTGTTTTTGTTGGGGCTGGGAGGAGGCAAGCCACTCCCTAGCTTGATGTCCTGGCCTGAGGGGCAAAAGAAATTCCTCTGGAACCCTGTCCCCAGATGATCCTGTCTCAACAGACCCCATCTGGGGACCCAAGTCATCTGACCGATTTATACAGAAGTCCCCGTGATTTCTCTTTCCTGCCAGCCTTTTTCCCTTTTCTTTGAGTTCAGTCCTGTTCCAGCTACTAGTCCTCTGACCTTGGATCATCCCCTTTCTGAGCTTCAGTTCCCTGGGTTATGAAATAGAATTACCCCTCTATGCATCTGTCCGGGCCTGTTTCTAGGAGGCAGTCCAGTAAGAGTGGGGTAAAGAACAAGGACTCTGAGGTAGTTCTGGGTTCAAATCCTGACTCCCTAGTATATCTTTGAACACATCACTAAAAAACAAGATCTCTGTGCCTCAGTTTCCTTATCAGCAAAATAAAGGCAGTAACCTACTTCCTAGTCTTGACAAGAGGATTCAATGAGGTCATGGGGTAAAGTATTTAGCATAGTGTCTATTATTAATATTAGAATAGCATACATTGAGTTTTAGCTGTAGCATACACTGAGTGTTAGCTGCTAACACCCGAACAGGTTTGGCACACTGAGATGGTTGGTTACTCTACAGGTGACCCAGAGGTGCCAGTCAAGGCCATGGGGACTGAGAGATGGCCGGGAGCCCACCTATCCAGCTGAACTCAGGTGTTAGCATGCTGTGAGGGAAGCCTGTTGGACCTCCTCACTTTCAAACACGCACGCCCTCACGTCTCTTTCCTTTAGCGCATTCCAGACCTTGATTCACCTGGTGAAAGGCAACATGGGCACAGGGATCCTGGGCCTACCCCTGGCCGTGAAGAATGCGGGCATCCTGGTAAGAGGGGCTGCTGCAGGTCGGACCAGTGTGGCTGGGTTATAGGAGGGAAGAGGGAGGAGAGGCTCCAAGTGGATTTAACGGCTTGCAGTGAGCAATCTTTCTGGGAGGCAGCTTGGTCCAGACTTAGAATCTAGACATCTAGCCAGGGTTTGAGTTCTGGCTCTGCCACAGACTTAGAGTGGCCTTGGCCACTCTTTCCCTTCTCTGGGACTCCGTTTTCTCCCTTGTAGAATGCAGAGGTTGGACTATGACTAATTTTCCAACTCTGGCCAATGGAGCACTAGCTCTCCGTAGGGGTCTCAGAAGGAGCCCCCTACTCCCACCACAACACCCACTGGAATTGCTTTATGTGCTTTACTAAAGTACTACTTGAGATTATATATATATATTTTTTAATGTTTTATTTATTTCTAGGAGAGAGAGAGAGACAGCGTGAGCAGGGGAGAGTCAGAGAGAGAGAGGGAGTCACAGACTGAAACAAGCTCCAGGCTCCGAGCTGGCAGTCAGCACAGAGCCCGACGCGGGGCTCGAACCCACGAACCGCGAGATCATGACCTAAGCGAAAGTCGGACGCTTAACCGACTAAGCCACCCAGGCGCCCCAGCTTGAGATTATATTTGAAAGAATAGCCATAGCTGCTTTAGCGAGCCAGGACTTGCAAAGCAGTTTGCTAGAAAGGTCCTTGAGTGCCGAATGGCATCTGTGTTAGCAAATCTCTCCTTGCGGCGCTCTCCACAAAGCCATTCTCTTCTCTCTTCCCATTTCCCTTGGATCTGCCGTCCTCCAGATGGGCCCGCTCAGTTTGCTGGCAATGGGCTTCATCGCCTGCCACTGTATGCACATCCTGGTCAAATGTGCCCGGCGCTTCTGCCACAGGTAAGGACAACAGCATCCTCACACTGATCCTTGGTACTCGGATCTCAGGAACATCCCAGAAACATGCTGCCTATGATTGGAGTTCTGAATTTCCTTCAACAAAGTCAAGAAAAAGAGAAAAGCATTTGGGGCAGGGATCTAAGGCGAGGCTCTGCCACATGACTCATTAGGTGATATCGATCAGGCCACTGAGCTTATCTGCTTGGCTCATCTGGAAAATCCATGCGTAACCCTGCCTCAGAGGATTGTGATGAGAATCCACTGGATCATGGATTTGAAAACCACTGTACCCAAGTGAGGTGTGCATTATTATCCCTGTCATGTAGTGACCACCCCACTTGACAGGGGAGGAAACACAAGCCGCCCAAGAAATACCAGCAGGCGTCTAAGTCTGAACTAGAACTTGGGTCTCTGCCCTAGTGTTCTTTCCACTCTAGCCGGGTCCTGCCTTGTGGTGTGTCTCCTACTTTTCAGTATGCGATCTTCGGTTAGACTGCCTCCTGGTAATGGTGTATGTACTTTCTCCCACAGGCTTAACAAGCCCTTCATGGATTATGGCGACACAGTGCTGCACGGGCTGGAAGCCAGCCCCAGCGCCTGGCTCCGGAACCACGCCCACTGGGGAAGGTACCTTGTTTTACCTGGAGTGGGGTAATGTACAGGAGGAGGAAATGTGTGGCTGTCAGGGATGCCTTCTTCCCTGGAAAGCTGGCTCTTGTGGCACAGAATATTGGACTTTCCACATGGACAGGGTTCGCTGGCAATCTTCCTGATCCAACCCCCTCCTTGTATGCCTCCAGTGACAGGGTGCTCATTCCTTTGCTCTGCAGTTTTAATATTATTTGCTTTTTTATAAAACTATGTTTGTCCAATTGTACTATGTACTAGGCCCTGTAAATACTGTGGAGAGCAAGGCAAGCAGGCTTTGCTCTCAAAGAACCCATAATCCAGTGGGAGAGACAAGCGTTACATAGTTTAGGAGACAGTCACTTAATAACCATGGGATAAGTGCGATGAAGAAAAGAAATACTAGTTGCTGGGGCGCCTGTGTGGCTCAGCTGGTTAAGCATCTGACTCTTGATTGTGGCTCGGGTCACGATCTCACAGTTTGTGAGTTTGAGCCCCACACTGGGACTCTGCTGACAGTGTGGAGTCTGCTTGGGATTCTCTCTCTGCCCCTCTCCCAATCCTGCTCTATTTCTCTCTCTCTCTCTCTCAAAAAATAAATAAATAAATAAATAAATAAACTTAAAAAAAAAATACGAGTTGCTACTGAGCAGGTAAGGAGATGTGCGTGAGCTCATGTGGGCTTCCTAGGATAGGACAGTTGAGATGATCCTGGAAGGGAAGAATTCTTGAGTATGAGGAATTACCTAGGGGAAGTTGGCAAGAGCCTGGACAGCCTTCCAGGAAAAAGGAAGAGCAGACTGTGAAGGTCTGAAGCAAGAAAGTATTCATGACAGTTTCAAGGCATGGAGACTTAGGTAGCTTGAGGTCAGAGAGTCAAAGAGATGAAGCTGAAGAATAATGATCGAGGGGGCCAAGCAAAGTGTACATTTTAGACCCTCCTAAAGGTTTTGTTCGTTTCTTCAAAACAACCAGGAAGCTACTGAAGTGTTTTAATCAGGCAAGTGAGCATATTTGCATTGTTTAAAGATCTCTCTGGTTTTGGGATGCCTGGGTGGCTCAGTCACTTAAGTGTCTGACTCTTAATTTCAACTCAGGTCACGATCTCACAGTTTGTGGGATTGAGCCCCATGTCGAGCTCTGTACTGACAGCACAGAGCCTGCTTAGGATTCTCTCTCTGTCTCTCTCTCTGCCCCTCTCCCACTCATGCCCTCTCAATCTCTCTCTCAAATTAAATAAAAAACATTTTAAAAAATTTTTAATGTTTATTTATTCTTGAGAGAGAGACAGAGTACGAGAAGGGAAAGACAGAGAGAGAGGGAGACACAGAATCCAAAGCAGGCTTCAGGCCCTGAGCTGTCAGCACAGAGCCCAATGCAGGGCTCAAATGCACAAACTGTAAGATCATGACCTGAGCTGAAGTCAGACACTTAACCAACTGAGCTACCCAGGTGCCCCATAAATAAAAAATATTTTTAAAATCTTTTTTAAAAAAAATCTCTGGCTTCTGTTAGGAGAATACATTGTAAGCGAGCAACCATAGATTTAGTGAGACCTATGAAAAGGCCGTTGACAATGTCTAGGCAGATAGTAGTGACATCTGGGACCAAGCTGGTGGCAGTAGGGATGGGAAAAAGTGAATTTGGTTGTGCTTTGTACTCTGGACTGTGGGAAAAGGAAGGTCAAGGTTGACTCAGATTTCTGACGACTTCTGTTTTGGACAAGTTGGGTTTGAAGTTCAAGTGGAGATGGCAGGTGGGTAGTGAAATGTGTGGTTTGAACAAATCTTCATGCGGGAGATACAGAGCTGAAGTCATCAGGCATGAAGCCAGGGGTCAGAGAGGTTCCCTCAGGGAGAGAGTTTATAATGAGAGGAAAAGAGAAAAAAGACCAAGACGTTAAGGACCCTTTGCTGTGCTGAAGTCCTCCTCCGGCAACTCCTGTCTTGCTTTCAGGGATGACTCGGAACAAGTCAGCCCCCTCCATTCTGTGGTACTTGAGACTAAATCTACTCTTTAGTTTTTGTTTTCAGGCCTGTCCCCACTCTGTCTGCATACTCTTTTCTGAGCACCATGTAGGCCAAAGTATCTCTTGAACTGTGACACCCAACCTAAACCTGATAGTCCCTGTGCTGTACCCTCTCATGTAATGTAGTCAACAGAGCATCATGGGTCTGGTGCCTCCTTCGGCCAAAAGCCCATTTACATGCTGAATCAATAAATTCAGCCTCTGAGCGGACAACAGAAGGCTTTGGGATGATAACCAGAACTTTCCCGGTGTGTGAGCCAAGAAGAGGCTTTGCCTATCACTTGCCCCTCAAATCCTGATCATTGGACACAGTAAGCAGCATTTTCCGGTCTGGCTCAGTCAGTAGAGCATGTGACTGACTCTTAACCTCCAGGCCATGAGTTCAAGTCCCACATTGGCTGTGGAGTCTAGTTAAAATTCATATTAAATTAAAGCCACTTTTCCTGTTCTTCCCAGAGCTCTTGTTCCACTAATCACTCCCTCTCCTATAACTTGAACTTCCTTTTTGATCTGTGGGCTCTTCCTCTCAACATTTAAATGCATTCATGTATCTCCATCCTAAAAATAATAAACTCAGGGGCGCCTGGGTGGCTTAGTCGGTTAAGCGTCCGACTTTCGCTTAGGTCATGATCTCGCGGTTCGTGGGTTCGAGCCCCGCGTCGGGCTCTGTGCTGACTGCCAGCGCAGAGCCTGGAGCCTGTTTCGGAGCCTGTTTCGGAGTCTGTGACTCCCTCTCTCTCTGACCCTCCCCTGCTCACGCTGTCTCTCTCTCTCTCTCTCCTGGAAATAAATAAAAACATTAAAAAAAAATTTAAAAATAATAAACTCATAAAGTTTCCTGGACCTCACACCATCCTCTAGCTACCATCCTAGCTTACGTTCAGCAGCTGCTTATTCAACAGGCATCTACTGCATACCTGCAATGTGTCAGGACGTGTTCTAGGCAGTGGGTCTACAGTGATGAACAGAATGGGCCCCGTTAAGACTGGAACTTACACTTAGCTCCATGAAAGAACAGCACACCCTCTGACTCTGCTTCCATATATCTGACTCACACCACTTCCATGGGTTGCCTGGATTTTCTGTCCTCACGTTTCTGTTGAAGTTCTTTCTACCAGCATCCTAAAAGACCTCCTCATTGCACCTTCTTTGCCCTAGAGAGCCTCTCAACAGTGTGGGTACAATTGGCTATTCTCTTCTTCAAACATTTTCTCTTCCCTTGGCTTCTATTAAACCTTCTCCCCACACCTAGTTTACCCCCTAGCTTTCTGGCTAGTCCTTTGCTTTCATTGCAGGCTCCTTTGTTTCTGTTTCCCCTTTAAATATTGGTGTTCTCTAGGGTTTTGAACTCTGACTTCTCTTCTTCTCTCTCCTCACACTCCCCAACATTGGCCTGCCTTCTCAAGGCTTTATCCATTACTGACAAATCAGCAGTTCCAGGCCTTTATATATAGTTGTCTCCTAAATGTCTCCTATAGGAAATCTCAGGCTCAACAATTCAGATACTGAATCTGTCAATTCTTCCCCTTCTCCTAAAACCTATTCCTTCCTTCTAGTTCATTTTGTTGTCCGAGCCAAAGCCTGTCAGTCACCTTTGATCATTTCCTTTCCCTTTCCGCCAGATGTAGGTGGTCAACAGCTTCGTTAAGTTCTAGCTCCCTAGTACCTCTTAAAATTCTTTAATGACCTTGTCTTTGTCCAGCCTGTTGGACACTTCTGTTATTGTAATAATCTCCTATCCAGTCTTCCCATCCTTAGTTTTACCCCTTCCAATGGATTCTGCACAGCCTGAGAAATCTGCCTAATTCCTCTGCTGAAATGCTTTCTTCACTTCTTCCTCTCCATCTCTCCCTCCTCATCTTCTTTTTAATAATATGTCTCTTTCTTCCCCTCCCCAAGGGTCTCCCACCCAGGTATTGGTTTTTCTATGAATGCTATCTGCTCTATAATTTGGGTATATTGTCCTTTTCACCATGGCGCTTAGTGCCATATTCTTTTTTGTCCATCTCAGCCATTACTCTGTGAACCCATAAAGGAGGGCATCACATGTTATTTGATTTCCTCAGAGCCTAATGAGGTGTCTGGCATATGGCAGAAAAAATTTTAATGTTAATGATAGCTAATTAAAAATGTAGTGCCTACTGCCCTACGTCAATTTAGTATCAATTATGAGGAATGCCACAGAGTCAAGGATGGGAGGAGGTTCCGAACCATGAAGAATCTCACCACTTTCTGAGCTGAGAGCATGAGGGTGGATGAGAACCATTTTTTAAAAAAGAACTATTGCTACCTTACTTCTTACTACCCCATTGTTGACTGAGGTAGCAGAACAGAGTGTCACCAAGCCCCAGGGACAGAAATAGAAATGACAAACCAACTCTTCTTTTATAATAAGTTTTCTCTCTCTCCCTTCTCTTCCAGGCATATCGTGAGCTTCTTCCTTATAGTCACCCAGCTGGGCTTCTGCTGTGTGTACATTGTGTTTCTGGCTGATAATTTAAAACAGGTAGAGTCTTCTAGAGAAGGTGGAAGGGGAAAGGACATGGAAAAGGAGGGTCCTCTGTTAGTTTTTCAGCAAATGTGGCTTCTTGTCTTGGGCTCTGAGTGTCCTCATCAGTACAACAAAGGAAGTTAAATTAGATGTTATCAAAGAACCCAGACTTCCCCCAGTTCACGTATCTGTTCAACAAGTAGTTATTTTTTCCACAGTGTGCTTGGTCTAGTATCTTGGACCAAGATTCTCAAAGCTCATCTTTAAAACTGAGCTCGAAGGAAGCTTGGATTTTGTCATTTGTCCAGCCTTGGAGCTTAATCCCCCTTAACTCTCCTAAACCTGATATGACTCTTTTGGGATGATACTGAATCTTCTTTGGACCATCTTTATCTACCTTTAGCTTCTTAACCTCTGGTTTAACAGTCGTTGTCTCTAGGAAGTTGTTTTGATCTAGCCCAGAAGTTATCTTAGGGCAATTTAAGCAAAATAATATGGGTCATACCGAATGCTGTCCTTAGTCAATGATTAAGAAATGTAGAAATGAAAAGAAATTAGAAGGAAAAAAATAGCAAGCATTTGGAGTTAGCCTCCATTCTATGTCACCAACAGGGCACATTGTACGTGCTTTCCCTCATTCAGTTCTCTCCATAGCCTTATCAGAGTAGGTACTGTGGCTACTCCCATTTTGCAGATGAGAAAACTAAAGCTGTAAACTCTAGAATGTATGTAAGATCACAGAAGCACAGTAAAAAATCTGGGTCTTTTGACATCAGTATTCAAGTTCTCAAACCCTATGTTACATTGCTTCTCAAAATGAAACGAAATTATTATTAATTCAACCACTCATGGTTATTGTTTTTAAGTTAGTATTAACTGGTTAGCATTTTGTAATGTCCTTATATTTTTAAATATAGCTTCTACTAGTTTCATAATATTTCATCACATAGATTGGCCATGACTTCTTTGTTTATCATTTCTTTTTTTCCCTTTGTTTTTCTACTGTAATCTGTGGAAGTCTTTATCCCTTTATTCCCTTAGCATATATTCCTTAAAGTAAAATTATTGGGTCAAAGAGTTTGTTTGAAAGCTCTTAAAACACGATGGCAGACTGCTGCTTGGAAATCAATCTGCTGAATGTTATCATCTGTCTAGATATATGGCAAACATTCACTTGAAGAGTTTGCAGGCTCAGTAGGACGTGTTCTAAAACATAAAGAGTTAGCATCAGTGTATTTTAGTGCCGGGTTGGAACACCACTAACAGCACTCTGAGGGCAGTTCACTTCTTACTTGTGAACTTAAAGGGCAAAAATATACGGGCGCAAGAAAGATCATTGGAGCAAGGGAAGTCTCCCTTGAGGAGGTCCATCTGAGCTGGGTATTGAAGGAAGGTTGGAGGAGAGGTGCTGGCAGCCAAGAAAGGAGGAGTGAACACCTGGAGGCAGGAATGTACAGGACTTGCCCAGGAGAGGCAATAAAATTGGTTGTAGAAGCTTTGGGAGAGGAAGAGCCTTCGAGGTTGAATGGTGCCCCGTATGGAGGACCATGAGTGCTGGCTAATGTGTCAAGTGTTTTTCCTATTGTAGTGAGGAATCGGAAAAAAAATAAGACTTAATCGTTCATTCAAGTAACTGCGGTATGTTAAATGAAAAGGAGATTTCAAAGTAAGAGTATTTGCTGTGATTGCAGTTTTGTAAAATAAAAAGGATGCATATAATACATGTAATTTGTGATGAAGGGTGCCTAGGTGGTTCAGTCAGTTAAGTGTCCGACTTCGGCTCAGGTCATAATCTTACGGCTCGTGGGTTCAAGCCCCACACTGAGCTCTGTGCTGACAGCTCAGAACCTGGAGCCTGCTTCAGATTCTGTGTCTCCCTCTCTCTCCGTCCCTCCCCCTTCCACACTCTGTCTCTCTCTCTCTCTCTCATTCTCAAAAACGTAAATAGTAAATATTAAATTTTTTTTAAAAACACAAGAATATGCATAGATGAATATATTCTCCAGGGTATTACCCTAGCTACCAATGGGTACTGAGATTATCATTGCTTTTACATTTTCTTCTTGCCTGACTCTAGTTTCTAATTGTTCTAATTGTATCGCTTGCACAATAAGACTGTATCCACTAATTCAGTCTGATTCTAAATGAGGGTAGTACATCCCCTCTTCTTCTCCCCCATCCCCCCTGATTCTACCAGGGGGTGTTTGTATTGTGTGCAGAGGAGTGTTTCTTGTGCATCACAATGATTGGGAGATGCAAATAGCTTTTATTGGGTGGGGTCCAGGGATGCTGAATGTCCTGCAGTAAATGATCCAGTCCTCACAAAGAATAAGCATCTCACTCAAAATGTCAGTTTTGGTCTGATTAAGAAACAGTAAGCAATGGGTTTCTTGGTTTGAAGCAAAAGAAACACCCTGACTCATTGTGAGATCCTGGCATGTGAGACATTCCAGCTCTTTGTGAGGAACTTTGATTATGGGCCATGCACTAAGCTCATCGTGTGGCCAACAGATATATGGAATCTTCCCCCTTGCTTTTCCCATTCCTTCCTCAGGTAGTGGAAGCAGTTAATGGGACCACCAACAACTGCCATTACAATGAGACAGTGATTCTGACGCCCACCATGGACTCTCGACTCTACATGCTCGCCTTCCTGCCCTTCCTGGTGCTGCTGGTCCTCATCCGGAACCTCAGGGTTTTGACCATCTTCTCCATGTTGGCCAACATCAGCATGCTGGTCAGCTTGATCATCATCACCCAGTATATTGCCCAGGTTAGTGCACACCGTACACCTGACTTCTCCAGTGGGCAGAGACTTTTCTCAATAATAGACTGACACCTACCTAGAACCAGCCCTGAGGGGAGGCATATACCTCACTCTTCAGCCTAGTAACATTGTACCATTTTTTCCACAAAGGTGTCTCTGTGAAATCCCCTTCTTCTGTATATCTCCTCTTTTATATTGCTTCCCCAACACCTGTCAAATTCTGGGCTTTGAAAAAAAATTATACTTTGTAAGGAAAACATCTTGATTGGTGAACTACAGACCATTCCTATAATGGTTAGATAGCAGCAAAAGTCAAAAGAAAAGTAGGATCTCATACCAAAGCTGAAACTTACCAAATTACCCATGGTCTTAACATCCTCAAGGCTACAATTCTAGGAATCCAAAATTATCCATAGGGGACTCGAGAGGAAAAAAACTAATATTTAGTCACAGAGACATAAATAATCTCAGAAGACCACAAGCAAGTCTATCACAATGCAAATTACAATGCCTTTGAGGTTGAATTATGGATATTGATTTTCCCTCAATTTCTACTTTTCCATCCTTTCTCATTTTATTTAATGGACAAGACTGCATAAAAATGTAAACACTTGGCATACCTCATACCTTTCCGATGTTTTCCTCTTTCAGAAGTCAGAAGAAAAAAATTTATTTTGCCCATGGAATTTAATAAAAATAACAAATTAGTTGAATATTTTAAGATAACTACAAATAGGTCTTATATTCCTTAAGACAATATTGATAAATCCGACAAAAGTGAATTTCCTAATGATATAGCTACCTTCAGTTCATTTTAGGACCATTCCTGATGTTGCCCAGTTAGAAAAATCACTCTGTAATTATTGTCACATTCCAGGTCACAGGGCACATAAAATATTTATTCCAGTACTTTTCTCTTTGAAGAAGAAAAGGAGGCTTTCATATCTATCTAACTGCTTTGGACTCCCTAGAATATCACTGTAACTATAGACACAGTACTTTTTGTCACCAGCAACCTCTGGTACATACCAAGTGTCCAAGGGCACTTTAGGCTGGTACCAACCTGTGGTGTGTAAGATTTTCATTTGGAGGATTCTGGTAAACCATACTCACGTCATGAGGTACTGACCCTTCAGTACTTTGACAATACCTCAATGTCTCTTACCTCTGGCTCTTGGGTATTGTGTGGGGTTAAAATCAACTTTGGTGCCTACTTTCTTTTGAAGCTTTCTGAATTTCTTGACATTCTTTTTTTCTTTTTAAATTTAAATCTACTGTCAGAATATTCCCCTCTTAAATGAACCCAAACATGCTTTAAGAGTAAATGTCTTACTACATTTCTCTCTCCTGTAGGAGATTCCAGACCCCAGCCGGTTGCCACTGATAGCAAGTTGGAAGACCTATCCTCTCTTCTTTGGAACAGCCATTTTTTCCTTTGAAAGCATTGGCGTGGTAAGGTTGGCATTGGAGTAGACTTTCCCTGGGTCTGTGGGTGGCCTTCTAAACAGGAGCCGGGAGCTCTGAGTTTCTGGGTTTCTGTGTGCACATAGGAGAAAGTAACCCCTTGTTCCAACACATCTATTAAACATTTATCTTCACACCAACATGTGTTTCCTAATCTTTTAAAATGAAGACAAATGGAGGTATACAATTTACAGGATCTAATGAAACAAACAAAAGGAGCTTTAATCTGGAAAGTACTACATATTTACAATGGATTATTATAGTTGTGCTTCCACACTTGAGGAGGGAAGTGCTGTGTATGTAATTTTTATTTACTTTTAATTTACATACAGTGCAATTCACTTGAGGGGTTGGGAGTGTACATTTCCATAAGTTTGGGAAATGCAGAGAGTCATAGACTCACCACAATCAGCACACAGAACAACTCCTTCACCGCAAATAAAAACCCTTTGTGCGGCTCCCATCGAAGTCAGCTCTCACTCCCCACTAACCCCTGGCAACCACCTTCTTTCTGTTCTCTGTTTCTATTGTTTTCTCGTTTCCAGAATGTCATATACATGGGGTCATGCAGTATGTAACCTTTTGAGACTGCATGTAAGATTAGCTGTGCTGTGGGGCCTGGGTGGCTCAGTCAGGTAAGCGCCCCGCTCTTGATTTCAGCTCAGGTCATGATCTCACTGTTTGTGAGTTCGAGCCCCATGTCAGAGCTTGGGATCCTCTCTCTCTCCCTCTCTGCCCCCTCCTCTGCTTGTGCACACATGCACTTGTGCTCGCTTGCTCTCTCTCTCTCAAATAAACCTTATATATATTTTTAAAAATAAAATCATCTGTGTTGTTGCATGCATCAATAGCTCCTTGCTTTCAGTGGCTGAGGATCCACTGCGTGGGCAATACCAGGATTTGTTTATCAGTTCACCTGTTGAAGAACAATTAGGTCGTTTCTAGTTTTTGACTATTATGAATAATGCTGCTGTAAGCATTTGTGTACAGGTTTTTATCTGAACATAAGTTTTTGTTTCTCTAGCAGTAGGTTTGCTATTCCCATATTAACATCTCTTTAGCTTTACGACAAACCGCCAGACAGGTTTTCATAATGGCTGTACCATTTTGCATTCCCACCAGGATGGAGGAACATTCCAGTTGCTCTGCATCTTTGCTAGTTCTGATCTGTATTGTCAGCTTTTTAAAATTTCTACCATTCCAATAAGTACATAGTAGTATTTGATTGTGATTTGAGTTTTAATTTTTATTTTATTTTTCAGAGAGCACGCAAGTGGGGGAGAGAGGCGGGGGTTAGTGGGTGGGGAGAGAGGAAAATGAGAGAATCTTAAGGAGCTCCATGCTCAGAGTGGACAGAGCCCAACGTGACATGGGGCTTGATCCCACAACTCCGGAGTCATGACCTGAGCTGAAATCAAGAGTCAGAGGCTCAACCAACTGAGCCCCCTAGGTGCCCCTCACTTGCATTTTATTAATGACCAGTGATGTCCAGCATCATTTTGGGGGCTTATTTGTCGTCTGTACATCCTCTTTGGTGAAGAGGATGTGTTCCAATCTTTTGCAGACTTTTTTTTGCAGAGTTGTTGAGTTTTAAGAATTCTACATATATTCCAAATGCAAGTCCTTTATTGGATATATAATTTGCAGATATTTTCTGTAGTCTGTAACTTGTCTTTTCATTCTCTTAACAGTGCCTTTCATAGAGTGAAAGACTTAAAATTTGATAAAGTCCAATAGATCAAAATTTTGGTTTTATGGATCCTGCTGTTGGTGTTTTATCTAAAAACACTTTGCCTAACACAAATTAACAAAGATTTTCCTCTATATTTTCTTCTAAATATTTTATAGTTTTCATTGTACATTTAGATCTATGACCCTTTCTGAGTTAATTTTTGATAAAGATGTTTATATGTTGGGATCATTTACTTTTCAGCAGATGGCCAATTGTTCCAGCATCATCTGTTGAAAAGACTGTCCATTCTCCATCGAATTGCCTTTGCATCTTTACAGTATTAAGTCCTTTAATCCATGAACATAGGACGTCTTTCCATTTATTTGGGTCTTCTCTTATTTCCTTAAACAATGTTTTGATGCTTCACATCACTTCTGTACGTGCACAACTTAGGCTAAGCCCAGGACTTCACCCACAGATTTAGATCAGTTTCTCCAGCATCCTCCCGTCCCCACTTTGCTGCACACTCATCAGCCTCCAATGGCTTTTTTTTTTTTTCCCCTGGTTCTCTAGTTAGGAAGCAAGGGATTTAGCCTCCCTGTAGCGCTCTGCATACTTCCTATAACTGAGACTGACTGGGGTTAAGCACTGAGAGAAAAGAGAGGGGAAAATTAAAATAAAACTGAATGAACGAATAAATGAATGAATGAATGAATAGGGATTCCTTCCAGGGCCTGCATTCATAGACATGCAGCCTGTGCAATCACAGAGAGACCTGCCTTTGAAAGGATCCCACACGTGGTTTAATGCTTTGCTTTCATCATCTTGAAATTCTTGATTTTTGAACAAGGTGCCCTGCATTTTCATTTTGCATTGGACCCTGCAAATCATGTACCAGTGCTGATTTATGCCCCCCCCCCATATTCTATAGTCTCCCAAAGCCCCCTCCCCTAGTTCCTTTGCTCAAAGAGAAAAGATCCTGTGTGTCAGATTTTTAGGTGTCTATGTGACCAGCACAGCCACTGGTCCACCAGGATGCTGCTTTGTGATGGGGACTTGCCTTGGGTGTGTGGTGTTGAGAGTGAAAAAGGAAACAAAAAAATAGGGACCCTCTTCATACTCTCTGTCCCACTGGGACCTCTGCTCTAGGTCCTCTGGCCAGAAAAAATGGTTTCTCTTGGAGTTTTTTCTGTCTGCATCCACTGTGTAGGATTCTAGGATTTGAAGTCCTTTTTGTATCTAAACTGGGAGATACAGGAAGAAAAAAAAATAAGGAAATCAAGTACCATAATGGTAATTTTTACTGGTTTTCATCAATCCACATGCTACTATATACTTCTCAGAGTCCATGGGTAGTTGTTACATGTATTCTTCCCAGGACCTCTAGTTTTCATCAGTAAGAGAGCTATGGTGGAACGTGCTTACACCATCTTAATGGAAGTGGAAGCACTTTATATTTAGAATGTTGGATACTCATGGCAAAAAGCAGAGTGCAGAAGTTGAGAAAATGACTTTGGAGGCAGACTATGCTGGAATCTTACTTTGGCCATGGGTTACTCTCTGCATTCTATTTCCCCAGCTAAAAAATGGTATTAATTGTTCAGTAAGTATCAAGTACCTACTAGGTGCTAATGATGATTAGTATCAGAGTGCAGATTACCACTAGAAATCTTCCAGCCCAGTCTCCAGCTTTACAGAAGAGGAGCCTCAGCCCTGAAGAGGAGAGGGACTTGAGTCAGGTCACCAGCTGGGAACAGCTGCAGCTGTGGCTAAAACCAAGAGCTCCTTATTCCCAGTCCAGGGACCTCCCTACTTCATGTGAATGGCCATTTATCTCCCTGATTGATTGTGGGAGGAGAGAAGGAGAAATCCAGCTACTGAGTAAAAAAAGTCATTGTGAGGCTGGAGAATTTATGCAGCAAAAATGTATTACAGGGTGGGAAAACTTAGCTTGGATTATTCACCCTCCATACAGTCCCCCAGACATTTTCCTGAGCACCTGCCACAGCTAGGAACCTGCCCCTCATCTGGAAGAAAGTGGAAAGATACAACCATGACCCTGACACGGCATTCCCCTCAAGCATCTTCCATTTGCATGGAGTTGGGATGTGTACAGGACAAAAAAGGAGTTAACAGAAGTAGATGCTAAGATCCTACCAAGTACCAAATATATCCAGTGCTGGAGGGGTATAGTCAAGATTAGGTAGAAGCAAGTACTTGAACTTTGGAGGACAGGCCCAGTCTGCAGCCTCACTCTGCCACTTTCAAGCTGTAACTTGGAGCAAGTTACTTCATCTTCAGAGACTTATTTTCCTCATCTGCAAAATAAGAATTATGCAAGCTCTATCTTCATAGAGATGCAGTCTTCACTTTATGAAAAACAAGAACAGCTAACATTTACTAAGCCCTTACTGCATGCCATTATGATCCTCACGTAAATCTCAAAAAAATTCCAATAGGTAAGTTTTCAGATACATAAATTGAGACACAGATCAGCCTAATAATGCATGTAAAGTATGCTTTAGCCCATGGCCTGATCAAGGAGAAGGAGAAGGTGGAGGGGGACTATCAGCCAAGAGAAACCTAAGGAGGAATGTATATGGGGTGGGAAGCCAGAGGTTGTTTCCAAAGACAGAAGTGACCTTGGGATGCCCAGCAGGCTCCAGGTAGGCTGTCTCAACTTGGATTCTCTTAGAGCCAGATAGACACCTGCAGAAAAAGGATCCTGAGAATATGACGTGTAGGGAAATGTCCTGCTGGGGAACCAAGAGCCTCTAGTCCCAACTCTTGTCACCAGCTCACTCTGTCACCTGAGAGTCAGCCTCCCCTTCTGAACAGAAAGCAGCAAATGCACTAGAATTGGAAGTCTCAAACTCAAATGCCTTTATTTTTTTTTTAATTTTTTTAATGTTTTATTTATTTCTGAGAGAGAGACAGCATGAGCAGGGGAGGGTCAGAGAGAGAAGGAGACACAGGATCCGAAACAGGCTCCAGGCTCTGAGCTGTCAACACACAGCCTGACGCGGGGCTCGAACCCACGAACCGTGAGATCACGACCCAAGCCGAAGTCGGACACTTAACTGACTGAGCCACCCAGGCACCCCTCAAATGCCTTTAGAGGGCAGTGTGGGTGAAGAGGCCAGATATATGTCAGTGGGAGGGGAGAGGCCAGCCTGGTGAATGGGGCAAGAATATTGTTGACAAAGATATTCACCTTCAATTGTTTAAAAGGCTATGCTGGCCAAACAAAATGCATCTGCTGGCCAGAAGGGGCTGCCCCAAGGACTGAGCTCCTTGGTCTAACAACCTGAAAGGCTCTTTTAGCTCTGAATGTTCCAGGGCTCATCTTCTGAGTCCAGGCCTGCCTGCCTGCCTTCCTTCCTTCCTTCCTTTCTTCCTTCCTTCCTCTTTTTTTGTGGTAAGATATACCTAACACAAAAATGACCATCTTCACCATGTTTAAGGTCAGTGATATTAAATACATTCACATTATCAGGCAACCATAACCACCATCCATCCCCAGAACTCTTTTCTTCTTGCAAAACTGAAACTCTCTACCCATTGAGCAATAACTGCTCATTCCCCCTCCATGAGTCCCTAGACCCCAGCATGCTACTTTCTGACTCCATGAATTTGACCACTTCAGGCACCTTATGTAAATGGAGTCGTGCAGTATGTGCCATTTTGTGAAGGGCTTATTTCACTCACGGTAATGACCTCAAGTTTCATCCATATTATGGCATGTGTCAGAATTTCCTGTTGTTGTTGATTTTAAGGCTGAATGATATCCACTGTATTTATGTACCATCTTTGTTTATCCATTCATCCATCAGTGGACACTTGGGTTGCTTCTACCTTTTGGCTATTGTAAATAATGCTGCTATGAATATCAGTTCAAGTCCTTGCTTCCAATATTTTTGCGATATACTCAGAAGTGTCATGCCTTTCTTCCTGATGTTTGTGTTCCTCTTTCTCCTTCCCTCTTTTTACTCTGTGATGCTTCTGTAGGTTCTGCCCCTGGAAAACAAGATGAAGGATGCCCGTCGCTTCCCAGCCATCCTGTCTTTGGGAATGTCCATCATCACTGCCCTGTACATTGGCATCGGGACTCTGGGCTACCTGCGGTTTGGAAATGACATCAAGGCCAGCATAACCCTTAACCTACCCAACTGCTGGTAACTTCACAGGCCCTCGGGTGGTGGGGACTTGGGGCCAGGTAGAAATGTGTGGGTTACTTCCTCCTCCCTTCCACAGATGGCTACTGAGGTCTACAGGGCCTTCACAGTGAGATTCAGAACCTGTCATTGGCACCCTGGGCTCTGGTTTCTCTGTCCAGGGAGCTCCTCTTTCAACAACAGCCTCCCATGTTGAGTGAGGCCTTGATGGCTTTAGTATGGAGGACATGATTTAGGAAGAGAAAGAAGTGACAGTCCTTGGTCACCTAAGGAGGGAAGGGAGGGGCCCTCAGGGAGAATCAGAGACAGAGAAAGGAGTTGGTGGGCAGCAACAGCCAGAAGTACACACCCTCCAAGTCAGAGTAGCTAGGAGAAAAAAGTAGTGAAACAAGAACAAATCTGGGAAGACCACTGTAAAAACTTTACGTTCCAATGCATCCAATTCATGCAACAGTTAGCTAACCCAAACTTCAGCCAGTACTTAAACAGACAGATAAACCCATATAGCATTGTGTGGCATCGTCTCCCACACCCAGCCATATCATTAATGACAGGGTGCTTGTCTTTTTAAGGGTCACTGGAGGCTTAATTTGCCTAAATGGAGCTCCTTTCTCAAGTTGATAATGTCCTACATCAAGCATTTCCTGCATGCCAATTACGTGAAGATGCCAGTCTAGGCACAAGGGAGCATGGGGGCGCTGACTGAGTAGGCTAAGGTCTTGAACTTCACTACCTTCCCCAGCTCGTGATCCAGTGAGAATGGGGGAGGGATAGAGAATATATATACACAAATAGAACAGGAAAAGGAGCCCTCCAGAGTAGCAAAGAGGCTTTGGGGACCTTTGAGGAAAGAAACCCATCAGAACGGGAATCTTTTTGTCCAACAAGACAGCTCTGTCCAGGCAAGGACAACTGTGTCACTCACGGGCCCGAGTCCCCGTTGCTCCTAGCTTGTGGTCATGGATGATTTACGCAACCTTTCTGACCCTCCGTTTCTTTGTCTACGATGCAGAGTTGCCCTGGCGATTAAGTTGGGCATGTCTAAGAGTATCTGGCATGCAGTACTGCTCAAAAGATGGGAATTTCAAAAAAAAATCAGTGGGATTTGGACAGGTGGAAATGGAGTAAAGTGGTGTTTCAGGCGGAAGGACTAGTGAGAACAAGAAACTCCGAAATGTGGAAGTTAATCTAAGGAATGGCTCCTGATACACACACACACACACACACACACACACACACACACACACATGTTTCTTAAGTATGTGAGATGTAGCTACCACATTAGTGGACTGAAGGAAAAAGTCCTATCTCTATAGGTCAAATGCTTTGGTAAAACGCGAAACCCCCCGTCACACACTGTCTCTGCCTCAGTCCAAGGCCTGCAAGGGTTACTTTCACCCCCCCAGCCTACACACAACCCTGTTTGTAGACTGCATCTTCCTCCAAGGATTCAGGACTCTGCAGTTCTCTCAACCCAGTAGAAGCGTTTGTTGTGGGCTTGTTATGTGCCAAGAGCTTTGGGGGAATCCAGAGAATTGCTAAGGACTGACATTAGATCACAAAGGACTAGAGTATTTTAGATCCAGGGTTTTTGGTCTTCATCACTTAACACTTCTATCTCCTTGCACGGGGTATGTGACCTAAGCCTGTAGTTCCTCAAACCTGAACTTGACCACCAAGTGATAGTGGCTTGTGAAGGTGTTACATCTAACCATGTTCAAGACTCTTTTTATTTGGAGATGACCCGTTTCCATTCGAATTCGTGACACTTTACTCTGTTTTCACTGTGTGCTCTGCTGTGACTCCCTCTTAGCTCTGAGAAGCCCCCTGCCCATCATCTTCAGACAAGGAAACTGCAGCCCAAGGGACTATCCCAAGGTCAGAGGTTACTGTTCCAAGGGCCCAGGTGTCAGAGCACGGTGGCCTCAGGGGGCATTGCTCTGCTTCGTCCTGCAGGCTGTACCAGTCGGTCAAGCTCTTGTACATCGTTGGTATCCTGTGCACTTACGCCCTGCAGTTCTACGTCCCTGCAGAAATCATCATCCCCTTCGCCACCTCGCAGGTGTCAAAGCGCTGGGCACTGCCTCTGGACTTGTCCATCCGCCTCGCCATGGTCTGCCTTACATGTGAGTACAAGGCACAGTAAAATGTTATTCTTTCCCTGAGGGCTATCAGGAATCAGCCAGATGGTAAAGGATAGTCACGATAACCAGCATTGTTTGGGCACTAATTGTATTTCAAAGACCATACTTTGCAAGTAGTAACTCACGTAAGCCTCAGGGACAACCTAATTCTCACATGTACCTAATTAGTCAGATTCACAGGTGTCCAGCCTGAGGGAGTAACAGAGCATATTGAGCAATAATCATCATAATAAGAAGTGGTATTAAATACCTACTGTGTACCAGCCACTGTGCTCCTTTTAGGCTGTATTTCATATTATTTTATCCAGCCTTGCAGGAGCTCTAAGGAGGTAGGACTATGATGCCCTTCATTTTACAAAGGAGAAAACTGAAGCAGGCGGCAATAAATTATTGGCCAGGAAGTGCCAGAACTTGGACTTGAACCCACATCATCTGAGCCCAGAGCCAGCACCCTCCGCCTCAAAGACAGAGGTTGGTGGCCAGTGAGTCTAACCTGACAGCAGAGGTGTGTTATTTGAGCCTGAGTGTTGTATAAATTTGAGCCAACATTTAAAATGTCTGAGATCTCATATCCAGATTTCTAACATTTTGGGGGAGGAAACAAAATGATTTAGGAAGCCTAGGCTCACATTTCCCACTGGCAGCAATGAGCTCGACTTGCCCCCTGGGCTTCAGCTGGCTTCAGTCACCCCCCCTGGCAGTCTTCCTCATGCTCCAAGCCCCATGATCCAGGGCACCCCACTTGTGCAAGTGTTTTAGCAGAGACGAAGGAGATGGTAGATTCCTGTGTGAAGTGTGGTACTCCCCAGCTATCCCTAAGGCTCCTCTCATGTTTATTTCTGAGAGGGAGAGAGAGGGAGACAGAGCACAAGCAGGGGAGGGGCAAAGAGAGAGGGAGACACAGAATTTGAAGCAGGCTCCAGGCTCTGAGCTGTCAGCACAGAGCATGCTGATATGGGGCTCGAACTCGCAGACCGCAAGATCATGACCTGAACTGAAGTGGGATGCTTAACCGACTGAGCCACCCAGGCACCGCTCTAAGACTCCTTTTAATGGTGATTCTAAGATTCCTCCTCAGGGAAATTCTTCCTTCTTGCTGTCCCAGACCAACCTATGCAATTCAATGGACATTGGTTGTCTTTCTTTGAAGTAGTTTGTCTGCAGTTTACCCCAGGAAGCAGGGACACTACCATTAGGGGACCTTAGAGATCAAAGACTTTTGTCCTCAAGGATAACTGTTCCCGAAGCCTCCAGCTTCCACATGCATTGCCCCACTCAGCACAAATGAGGAAATAAATTGAAGTAACAATGAAGATAACTTTTCTAAGGGCTTTTACATCAATTAACTCTGTTATCTCGGGACATAAACCAGTTTAAAACTTTAACACCTTCTGCGGTGTGAGCCACAATACCTGAAGAGGTAGATCACATTTAGCCCCATTCTGCAGAGGAGGCAACAGGCTGAGAAGGAGGTTAGGGACTTACCCGAGGCCACCCAAGGGGAAGCCAGAGTCCTGCCTTCCACACCTGTTTGGGTGCTGACACACCACACTCCTCCACAACAGGCCTGGGGGAGGCTTTGGGACTTTCTTTGTTTTTTGTGTTTTTTTTTTTTGGATTTTCTTGGTGAAAATCTGTCAACAGGTCAACTAAGAAATGTAGGAGCCCAGGCCTGTAAAGTAGCCAACTAAAAACTGAATAATCTCAAAATCTTTACCTTCTAGTGTCTATTAGATGTTTTCTGACATGGAGGTAAAACCTGGAGAAGATATTCTTTGAATGAGACCCTGCAATCTTGTCCCAGCTGAAGACCCTTTTCACCCATAAATAATTTCACATTCTAATTGTTTGCAAGTAAGAGGTGCTTATAGTTGTGTTAATTATTAAAATGTTAGCTCTAAAAAGGCTCTTTTTTTAAATTTCTGTCTCTTTTGTACATTGTTATGTCCCAAATGGGACACTTGCCAGCACTGATATTTTTTTAAATTTTTTTTTCTTAAATAGTTTATTGTCAAGTTGGTTTCCATAAACACCCAGTGCTCATCCCCACAAGGGCCCTCCTCCATGCCCATCCCCCCCTCCCCCCCACCCCCATCAGCCCTTGGTTTGTTCTCAGCATTCAAGAGTCTCTCATGGTTTGCCTCCCTCACTCTCCCCCACTATATTTCCCCTTCTTCTCCCCTATGGTCCTCTGTTAAGTACCTCCTAATCCTCCTATACGTGCAAACATATGGTATCTGTCCTTCTCTGCTTGCCAGCACTGATATTCACTGTTATTTATCAAGTAAGAGCTTAATCTTGAATAATGTAGGATTCAAGGTGTGCCTTGGCAGCATAAAAATTATCATAAGCTAAATTTGAACAAACAGCAGCCACAAGGAAGGGAAAAATAAATCCTTATCTAAACTTCCTTTGCTGAATTAGCAGGATCCTCAGAAGAAGCACAGTGTCTATAAATCCCCTCTCTGGAAGGTTTCCCACCAGAAAGAGGACTAACCATCAGCACAGACTAATTCCTTAAATAAAGGATAGGAACCAGTCATAAGTTCCACTTGTTCTTACGTAGATGTCCTTTCTGTCCCCTCCTTTCGTCTTATGAAATAGGCATGTGAACCCCTAACTTTGGCTGTTACGGGAGGAGCCAACTCATCTGAAGGCTCCCTAGCTTGTCTTTTGTCCTGTTGATCTATCGTCAGTTCATCCCCAGCCTCTGCCTCCCAACCCAAGTAGGCAGAGGGAAGATTTCTGTTCCCAATAATATGAATATATATTTTGGAAAAATCATTAGAGACACACCTTTTTTTTTTTTTTAAGTTTATTTATTTTGTGTGTGAGAGAAAGAAATCCCAAGCAGGCTCTGCAGAGCCTGATGCGGGGCTCGAACCCACGAACTGTGAGATCACGACCTGAACCATGATCAAGAGTCAGATGCTTAACTGACTGAGCCACCCAGGTGCCCTGAGACACACCAAATTTTTAATGTGTAACCTCTAGAGGATGTGATTAGAGCATTACAGGACTTTCAATGTTTTCTTTATGTAACTAAATGTGAAAAACAACTGGTCTGCGTTTTGATTTTAAAACCAAACTTGAAAAACCTGGCTAAGTCCCAAAGATCCATGTATTCCGCATTGTCTCCTGCAGGCACCTTGGCCATCCTGATCCCCCGCCTGGACCTGGTCCTCTCCCTGGTGGGCTCCATGAGCAGCAGCGCCCTGGCCCTCATCATCCCACCCCTCCTGGAGATCACCACCTACTACTCGGAGGGCATGAGCCCCCTCACCATCGCCAAGGACGCCCTGATCAGCATCCTGGGCCTCGTGGGCTTTGTGGCGGGAACTTACCAGGCCCTGGACGAGCTGATCCTCTCGGGAGGCCCTGTCACCTTTTCCAATTCCACCGTTTTTATTCAGTGAGAATGGCACTGTCCCGTAACCACCAGCACCTGACTTTTATTGATGTGGATATCTTTTATATGCATTATCTTTATTTTGTTGCTTTATCTTTTCTTCTGGGCCAAGTCACGGTGAAACGAGCAAGGACTCACTGGCTATAGGGTCTAGATGGCAACTTAAAAATGTGGTTTTGTTTATTCCTTTTCTTTCCATCTCTAGCTTTCCATTAAGTCAAGAGCTCTCCCATGGAAGGCTCTCGATTCCATCCAATTTTTTGGCGATTCATGTTGCCTTGAGTGGTGCTATGCAAGAAGAAGCCACCAGGGGGCAACCAAGTGACAGCAACTGGCAGAAGGAGGTGCCACTGGCTAAGGCTGATCCTGATCTGGTAGACTAAGAGTTTCCCCTTTTCCAGATCTGTTCAATGAGCAAAGACTAGGGGACATAACCTATAATCCAGCAATGTATGCACAGCTCCTGTGTCAAAATGGATAGGGCAAAGAGGTCCAATGTGAGCTGCAACTCTGAAAGGAGCCATCGTATTTAAGCCCAGGGCAATAAACTTTCTGAACCACTGGGTAAAGTTTTGGCCCAGGTCAAAGATCTCAACAGTAGGTAGGAGGCATGGAAGTGGATGTGTCAATGGCAGGGGGTAGGGGAGTGGACAATGTCTTTACAGTATTTGGCATTATCCACCTTTTAATTCTTGCAACAAGCCTTCTACCTACTGTGTGTCAAGCATAGCTCAAGGTTCTTGTAGTAGGTTGCAAAAATGGCCACAGATTCTTCTTGACAATGTGACTTTACAGCTCCTCCCATCAAGAGGTGAAATCCACGTCTCTACTCCTTGAATCTGGTCTTGCCCTTGTGACTTATTTGGGCCAGTTGGACATGAGTAAATGTGATGCAAGCAGAGGTTTGGTGACGGCTTGTGCATCAGGACTTTCATTTCTCATTGTGCTATGGAGTGAAGGCCACCAGGTGAAGAAGCCTGAGCTAGCCTACTGGAGGATGAGAAGGCATGTGAAGCAGAAAGGAATCGTCCCAGTTGAGCCCATCCCTCAGATCAACCAGCCTGCCAACTTCTAGACACATGAGGGAAGCCTCCTAGAACACACCCAGCTCCAATCAGGCTGACCCAAATCATAAGGAATGCCCAGATGATCCACAGAATTGTGAGAAATAATAAATGTGGTTTTAAGCCATAAGCTGTGAGAGTTTTTATGCAACAAAAGTTAACTGATACTCTAAAGGAGATATGCCAATGAGTGAGAAAGCATCCCTGCCCTAAAAAAAGCTAGTTTACTCTCCACAGGGGAAGAATTATGGGTAATCACCTAAGTCGATGCCATCTCATGTCCCTATAAGGGCAGAGGGACACTAACTGCTCTTGAGGACAAAGTACAGCTTTCCACAGGTGGTGCCATTGAGCTGGATTTTGACTAAAACCTAGATCTCCTGACACTGAACCTTGCCCTACTTCTACTCTGACCTGCTTCCTCGACAGTCCTGGGCCTTTTCTCGTGTCTGGGCTTGGCGGACAGCGGGAGCAAGCTAGCCCGAAGCACCAGCTCAACCTTCCAGGCAGCATCGCTCCTTCCTTCCTAAAATTACTAAAACTGGGAAGGCTACCCCAAATAAATGAGGAGATATTATAGGCAGATCTATAGTCCCAAAGGAGAGAGTTTCTCATCGGACTTCCTGTAATTTATGGGAATGGCCCATGCTTGTTTTAGTCTCCGTTTTAAGACAATGTTTTAAAGACACTTTCCTGCTTCTTTTCAACCATGATCCTCCCTATATGACCGAGGGAAGATGTTGGGGGAGAGTGTCTGCCCCAATTCCTAAACCCTGGTCTGCTCCTTTTGTGTGTTACTTTCTACCTGCTATACTTCAAGAAGGTTACTTCGTGAGCACCTGCTCAGATGCGAGGAGGGCCGGCAGACATCCCATAGTCTGTCTGCAGAGCACTTGCTTGGGGGCAAGACACCCTTAGCCTGTGCAGTGGTACACAGCCCACCCGGCCAGGGTTCTGGCTTATCACTTCCACCCTGTACTTCTCTGTTTCATCAGCAGACCCAAAGCCCTCCCACTGACTGGCTCAGAGCCGCAGCAAAGCGTTCTTTCTCTGAGCTCGCCTCTCCCACCATATTCCACCATAACCCCAACCAGCCTTACTAAGTTTAAGATTGTCCTCTCTGTTATTAAAAAACAGTCACACTCATTGTCCCAGCACAAGCCCCTACACTGTAAGATGCTCAAGCTAATCTTATCACTTCGGCTAATCTGGTTAAAGCTCAATTTTAGAAAGAAAAAATAAATTTAGTAACATACATGTAACCAGAGAAAGCTGAGGAGACTCATTAGTCATTGTCAGCAACACTAAAGAAAACCAAGTATTAGAATTGTGTCTGAGTGTGAAGATATTAAAGGTTTTTTTGTTTGGTACTGGTTTACACACACACACACACACACTCTAGCCTCTCCTCATCCCAACTGATTCTTTAAGTTTCAGAGCTTACACTTAAGTCAAGAATCATAGAAAATCCTTTCTTCCTTCCCTTACTGAGACCTTACCGTGTTTTGCATGGGATTATCTCCCTCATCCTTACAGCCACCCTAGGAGGTATGTACTGTCATTGTCCCTATTTTCAGGTAAGGAAACAGGCTTAGAGACATGAAGTGACTTGCAGATGATCAGGCATGCAGTGACAGATGGGTTCAGGACTCACACAGTTGTGCACAACACCCCTCACTTTGTAGGGCCCAAGAAAGGGCTCAGATGGTGGTGGTAAAAGTGAAAGAGAGCAAACATGTGTCTGGTGAAACAAGCCAGTCACCTAAAGACAATTGATGCATTGCGTCAGTTTTATAAGGTACCTGGAGTAGTCAGACTCATAAAAACTTAGAAGGGTGGGGGTGGTAAGGAGGTTCATTTTTGCAGGAAGAAAAGAAGGTTGGAGATCAGTGGCATGAGGTTGGGGATCATTTAGCATTACTGAACTGCACTCTTAAAAATGGTTAAGATGATGAATTTTTTATGTGTATCACGAATTTTTTAATTATGCATTAAGTTGGTGGCGGAATGTGAGCAAGCACTGGCATGTGCGTGAGTGAAACACATCAAGTGTTCACAGTTGTCCGCCCTGGATGGTGACGGTGAGTCTGTTTTCTCTTTGTACTTTTGAGTTCTGTTTTGCTTTGCTTTAATATGAGCATGGCATTTATTATCATCTCTCACTGTCTAGTTTTCCGGTTTAGGGTCATCTTCCTACTTTCCACCAAAGTGCAGACTCCTTGAAAGTGCTCATTGCTAAGCTTGCAGTGCCTAACAGGGTAGGCATATACCAGAAGTATTAAAGCAGCAAATAAAAGCAGTAGGGGAGGGGAATTCTTCTCAACAGAGGAACAAGCCTTTAGGGCATCAGAGGAGGAAGAAGTCTCATTTGACATTCAGAGGAAGGGAGAAGCTCTGGGAGTTGATTTTGCAGCAATGCCAAGTTGACATGGGCAGCACTTGGCTGCCATGCTCTTCCTACGTGGCCTGTCCAGACCATCGCAAATGAACAAGCGGTCAAAGTAGGGTGTGCCTGGGCTTGCTCTGCAAGTGCATCTTCAAGACAAGGCTTGTGCACCCCAGCTCCTTCCTTCCCACTTGTGCCGAAATTCATGAGGTCCTTTTGACTCCTCTCCTCTTCGATACCTTGCTCACACCCATCAGCACATCCTCTAGGCTTATCCCTTAAAAATACACAGACTGGGAGGCCCAAGGGGCTCAGTTGGTTGAGTGTCCAAAGACTTCAGCTCGGGTCATGATCTCATAGCTTGTGAGTTCGAGCCCGGCATGGGGCTCTCTGCTGTCAGCGCAGAGCCCACTTCGAATCTTCTGTCTCTGTCTCTCTCTGCCTCTCCCCCACTCATGCTCTCTCTCAAACATGAACAAGCATTTAAAAAAATAAATAAAAATGAAAGTACCCAGACTTCAGACACTTCCCATCCACTAGCTACCACCCTGGTCTAAACCACTGTTGACTAGCATGGGGCTCATTGCAGTGGCCCCCTAATTATCTCCCCACTTTGGCCCTTGCCTTCCTTCCATCTGCTCACAACAAATGGCCCAGAGAGATCTGGTTAAAATGCAAGTCACATCACTTCTCTTCTCAAACCCTCCATGATTCCTCATCTCAGAGTGAAAATTAAAGGCACTAGTGGCCTACAAGTTCCTGCCCGTTCCATTCCACCCTTCTTCCATTACTTCCACTTACGTTAAGTGCACCTCTGGTGTGGCCATGTAATTTCTCATCCAAACCAGGACACTTTTAATAGTGAAAAGAAGCACTGTTGGTAATTATATCCAGGCAATAAACACACATCAACACAGTCCTGGGCAAACCAGACATATGCCCACTCTACTCATCTCCCCTCTCCTTTGTGAATGCTGAGCCAGCCACATGGCCTTCTTACCATCCCTAAATTACCCAGGCCCTCTCCTGCCTCAGGACCTTTGCACTTACTGTCCCCTCTGCTTTAAGTTTCTCACCCAAGACATATATAAGGCATGCTCCCTCATCCTGTTCAGCCCTTTACCCATGTGTCACTTTCTCAGTGAGGCTCTCTCTGACCACCCACTCTAGAATTGCAGCCTTCCCAGGGTGCCTGGGTGGCTCAGTTGATTAAGCGTCTGACTCTTGATTTCAGCTCTGGTTGTGATCTCACAATTTGTGAGTTTGAGCCCCATGTCAACTCTGTGCGACAACTGTGGACACACGCGGAGCCTGCTTGGGATTCTCTCTCTCTCTCTTTCTTTCTGCCCCACTCACACACGTGCACTCTCTCACTCTCAAAATAAATATATTTTAAAACTTATTAAAAAAAAAAAAAGAATTGCAGCCCTCCCCCCAACCAGCACTTCCCTTTTACTGCATTATTTTCCTTTATAGTCCTTATTACCAACTAATACCTACTTGGTGTATTGTCTGTCTCCTCACTGGACTGCTGACCCATGAGATTGTAGTATGTTTCTACTCTAATGTAGTCCCAGCAGGCAGAACAAGTGCCTAGTATATCTTAGGTGCTCAGTAGATATATTTCAAATAAATATATCTTTGATATATTTATTCAATAGATAGATAATGATAGATAGATAATCATTGAATAAATGATGCTTTTTAAGTTTACTTTTGTGCTCCATTCCAAACAGGTGGCAATCCACACACCATTCCTGTACAGGAATTCTGAGCAGGTAGCACTGGGGCCTGAAAAGCTACTCTTCATTCCCACCCTGGGCTGGACCACACCTGCATCCTGGGATTCTGCGGCACCTTATTGGCTGGGCAGCCTCCATTGTGAGGTAGCTCTGGCTTCCTCTCGCACGGGTAGACGGCGCTGAGCCTGGCCCCACATCCGGGCACCAGGACCTGCGGTCCAATGGTGCCTCCCTCCTCCCAGGTACACTGTTCACTTTGCCCTATAGCATTAAGGGCTGAACTGGGAGGGACTGGAAGCCCGAATGAGTCCTGGCGTGTAGTCGACCAATCGTGAGGGGCCCTGGGGGTCGTGCTGAGATGAGATTCCCCTAAGTGTCTCCAAAACCAGGTGACGCACAGTAACATCAGCTTCTCCTGCCACCAGCGCCCCACTGATTTGCACATTTGGGCCTCAGTCTGGGTCAAGCGCCCTCGGGAAACGGGAACCAGAGTCTAGGCCTGCAGCCTTGGTTTCCCTGGAGGAAAACTCATGGGAGGCTGGGTCAAGGCTGTATCAGGCCTTCACCCTGAGCTGCCACCACCTACCCACCTTGTTGAAGATGTCACTGCTTGGAAGGGACCTCAAAAGTGACTCCAGCTCCCTGGACGATGGGTCCAAGGCACTCTTGGAGAGGAGCAGCACGGTCACTGCAGAGAACGCCCGTCCTGCTGAGGAGGCCAATGGCTTATCGTAAGTGGCTGTCCCGCCCCTCCAGCTCCGAGGCAAGCACGGCTGCCTTCACAACCCTGGGCCACACCTGCCTAATTCCCTCTTCCTAACACCTGCACCTCCACTGAACAGGAGATGCACGGAGGAAACATGAGCGCAGAATCTGAGGAGGTTGATCCGTGTGGCTCTGGGTATCACCGTGCTTCCCGGTTGTTGCAGAGAATCCAGACAGAGGGACCGTCCCCAACACGAGCTTGCTTCTAGCAACACTTTTCTCAGAGGCTGGCTGCTCACCCTTCCCGTTTCCTCGCTTTCCTCTCTTTCTACATCTACTATTATTTACTCTCTCCCTCCCTTTCCCCTATAAGCCCTCCTAGCCTCATGTCCCTACTTTCACTGCTATAAACTCAGACACATGGAACTTTTTCTTAGAACTTTATTGCCGGTTAGACTCTTATCTAGTAATCAGATTGGATAATAGCCTTGGGAATAATGAGACTGTAAGTGACAATACCCAGTGTTGATAAGGATGTCGGAAAATGCCCTTCCTCTGGTCCTTTTAGGAAGAATTAAGCTGAGACTTTTCCAGATAGCAATGTTGTAAGGTATGTCAAATCCTAACGCGTATTTATATCATACAAATGCTATTCCTGAAACTAATACTACACTGTACGTTAACGAACTTGAATTTAAATAAAAACATTTTTACAAAACATGCAAATACTTATGGTATATGCTTCCTTTGGAAGTAAACACATGTGCACGCGCGCGCGCGTGCACACACACACACACACACACACACACACACACACAACTGGCTTCAGTGGCTCCTTGGAGGTAAGAGAATTGGGAAACTCAGAGGCAGAGAGATTTATAGGAACTATGTAAGGTTTTTTGGTTCTTGTTTTTGTTTTACCTTTTGAATTTCATACAGTTGTGTTACTTAGGTATTCTTAAGTATAGATATAAATAATTATATCCTTTGATTGATAAATACCACTTCTAGGAGTTTTCCTAATGACGTAATAACACACGTGCACATGATCATTTTATCGAAGCACCGATTATAATATTGACAATTTGGAAACAGTAGGAGATTATTTAAATAAAATATGATACATACATACAGTAGAATACAATACAGACATTATAAGTGATGTTGGTGGAAAGTGTGTAAGGTGCACTAGTCATAAAAGTAATTTAGGATACAGTATTATAATGGCTCTCCTTGTGTAAAACTGTGTGCATTTAAAAACAAACAAACGTCGAGAGGAATGTTAGCCAACATGCTAACAGTGGTTATTTCCAGTTAGTGGAATTCCACTATTTTGTTTTACAAGGGCAATGTATCATTTTTCAAGGAAAAATAAAGTTATGTTTTTAAAAATCCCCACACGTGCTTTACCATCCAAGTCCCTGATGCGGAATGCTGTTAGCCAGGGCACATAGCTTCTCCAAAAGTTGGTCTCACTTTTTCCAAGAGATCTAACTCAACTTGGAAAAGATGCTGCTGTAGGAAAGAAGTGAGGGATGGAAGGACAGAGGACAGGAAGGGGGTAGAAAGAGCAGATCTTTTGGAGAAATTACTATCAAGTAATTGACAAAAGATAAAGAGTGCTGTTTTGTTTCGTTTTGTTGCTTTGACATATTTTCCAATAATTGTAGTTATCAAGAAATAAAGGTTATAAAAGTAGCCTCTTGGAAGTGAAGGTACAGCAGGTGCCCCCCATCCTCAGGTGAATAGACTGAACTAATGAAGATACAAGAAGTCAGGGGGGTCCCAGGCCTCTCCCAGGTCAGTACTGAACTGTAAGATTGGACATGGCCCTGATTCCCTAACCAATGAGACAAAGACCTAGAGACATGAGCTCAGTCTCTAAGGGACTTGCTGTGTGACCATGCTAAGCTGTTTCTAGACAGTTCTAAGACTGCACAAGGAAGACCTCCAATGGCCTCCTCAAGGCACCTTGTATGTCTTATATGAAGGAGGGGACACGTCTACCCACTTCAATCAGCCGTTACTTGCCTGTTTGCTATCCTCCCAGCTCCACTTCCCCTTCAAGGAGGCCCTTCTAGCAGGTGAGCACCATAAGGTCAGACCAAAGGCTGTAGTATTGCTGAGGAGGAGGAGGAGGATGTGATGATGATGGTGGTGGTGACGGTGATGATGCCTTGCATCTTAGAAGCATTTCATGATTGGGGCGCCTGGGTGGCTCAGTCGGTTAAGCGTCCAAAGTCAGCTCAGGTCATGATCTCACGGTTCGTGGGTTCGAGCCCTGCATAGGGCTCTGTGCTGACAGCTAGTTCACAGCCTGGAGCCTGCTTCAGATTCTGTGTCTCCCTCTCTCTCTGATCTTCCCCTGCTCATGCTGTCTCTATCTCTCTCTCAAAAATAAATAAAATATTTAAAAAAAAAAAAAAGAAGCACTTCATGATTCTAAGATTCATCATGTCATTACCTCTTCTGATTCTCATCACTTCCCTGGGAGGTAGTCAGGGCAATAATTATTCCCTCTATCTTTCTTTTTTGGCAGATGAAGAAACAGAAGATGTAAGCAGCTAAGGGTCTTTCCAAAGTAGGAACCAAATTTTGTAGGTTAACAGCAGATCTAGAACTCAGAACTCAGTGCTCCTTACCTCTGAGCTCATTACTCTTGCACTCAGCTTTTCATTTCAGTTCCTTCTTGATTCTCTTCTCATGATTCTGCTCCCCCTTCCCCCTCTCCAGTGCATGGGTGGTGCCTGAGTAGAAACTGCCAGCACAGGCATGGAGAGCATTTAGAATGCTCTGGTACCCAGCACCCTACAAGGCTCATAGTTAGCATTCTGTACACACAGTAACAATTGTTATTAAATTGCATCCAGTGCAGAGCATGGAGCAGTTCACTGGAATATTGGTTGAGTAAATGGATGAAGGAATGAACTAGAACCAGTAAACACTCCACATACCAAGAGAGGTTATGGTTTTCTTCTAGTGAGTGAATTAATAAACGAACTGGCATCAATAATTACTCTATAAACTAAGAAAATTTTTAGTTTTTTCATTGTCCACCTAGATACCTACCAAGCATCTAGAAAGTCCCAATACATATTATTTGAGTGAATAAACAGTAAAATAAGTCATTAGATGAATTAATGAATAAACTGGTACTAGGGGCTTATTCAGAATGGTAGCAATTGTTAACCTTTTCTTTAGAGCCTCTTGTGTGTTCAATATTTGTTGAGTCACCTAAACTAGCACCAGCCCTGGACCAGATGTTCTAGAATTCACTTCATCTGATTTTGTCCTCCTCCCAAAGGGCGGAGGGTGCTGAAGATGCTAGAAGGAGCCTGAGCTTTGGATCACCTTTCCCATCCGCTAACATACCCGCTTGTCTCCCTACTCTTCCCTACAGGAGGATGCAAACCTTGATCCACTTATTGAAATGCAACATTGGCACAGGGCTCCTGGGGCTTCCCCTGGCCATGAAAAATGCCGGCTTATTGGTAAGAAGGATCTGTGTGACGGAAACTAGGCTTACCCATTGGGGTGGGGGATAAGAGGTGGTAGGCCCTGAAGGCCTTTGCACTGCTGATCAATGGGCTATTTGGGGATACCTTTTGCAATAGGAAATGTGCTTCTTGGCATCAATCCACTGGAGTCAAATGGAGTGTGCCTGGAGGTGACAGGCCATTACTCTCTTTTGTCCCCTCAGTTCTACTGAGATATAAATGACATAGAGTACCATGGAAGTTTAAGGTATACCACATAATGACTTGACATACACTGAAAAAAGATTACAACAAAAGGTTTAGTTAACATCTATCTCTTCATGTGTATGTATATATATCATCTATTTTGCAACTTTCAAGCAAGCATACCATATGCCCGTGTTAACTACAGCCATCATGTTACACATTACCCATACCTGTTTATCTCCTAACTGGAAGCTTGTACCTTTTGAACCCCTTCATCCTATTCTCCCACCCCACCGCTATTCTTAAAGACCAACCATACTCACACACCGGCACACGGTCTACCTTGCCACAGGCCTCCCCACGCCCCCAGCCCATCTCACTCATTTACCCTAGTACCTGGTCCCTGCAGATACGTGAGTGTGAGCTCTTGTTTCACACCATTACAATGGCTGACTGTGAGAACAGGGCTTGAAAGATGAGGATGACAAAGGCGTCATCAGTCCCCGGACACCCGGTGTCACCCCACCTCTGCCTCTTTGCTTGTGAGGTTCCTTCTCCCTTGTTTCTGCCTTTTGAAACTTGCCTCCTCTGTGAAACTTTACTGTTTCCTATTAAAATCAATGTCACCTTCACCTTGTATTTTTCTAGAACTCCTATCTTCCTCACCTGGAATCCTTACGGCACATACAAAGATGAGACATAACATTTTAGCATACCTACCTTCCTCACTTCCGTGAAAGCTCTGAGGGCAGGAACTCTGATGTATTTTTACTCTTCCTCACAAAGCCTGCTGTAGACACAGGAACACACAGGAAGTCCCAAGGCATAGCTATCGAATTGAGCCAATGGCCAAGTATATGATTTCCATTTAGGTGATGCTAATTTCTCCTTCTCTCCAGGCCTGGTAAGTGGTCCCCATGTCAAAAGAAGGCATATCAAGACCCTGGCTTCTTCTGACTTCCAGTCTGTAACAGTTCTAACCCAGAGATGAGACTCTCCCCCTTTGAAATCCTCAGGGTTCTAGAACTTCTGAAGAGTATTATTACCACATGGCCCTCAGCCAAACTATTTTTGCCAGTGGAGTATTTGCTGTTAGCTCTTTTATCCTCTGATTTTTGCTCCCCAAGAGTCATTAGATGATTTATCTGCCGCCCATCTCCCATTATACCATCTTGCCATGATTCATTTGAGGAATACATATTCAGCACCTACTATGTACATTCTTAGACCCTGGGAATGGGGAAGTAAACAAGATCAAAGGAAGTTTCCATTATAAGGAGGCTACATTCTAGTGAAATCTAGTGGTGTTCTTGATCTCTCATTTGTATCTTGGTGATAATGTTACATCAGGTCATATCTATAAAGGCACAAGTGTCCAGCACAGAGGATGTGAGAGTCACTCTTTACTCTGTGCCCTTCTGATCACATCTGGGAGATTAGAATTAACAATGAGCTAGCTCTGCTTTTTAATCTCATCACACAAATAAAAAGTGGAAACTATGTGAGCATAAAATATTTTTATTAGTTTGACTGTAGTAATCGTTTTGCTATGTATATGCATGTCAAATCATCATGTCATACACCTTAAATATATACAATCTTTAAAAAAATAAAAGTTAATGACCAATGAGACACAGTAGACCAATGATTCTTGACTGGGGACAAGTTTGCACATACATCCCCCAGGACATTTATAGTGTCTAGAGACATTCTCAGCTGTCACAGCTCATGGGGAGAGAGCGTGCTACTGACATTTTGTATAGAGGCCAAGGAACGTGCTGAACTCCCTACAATGCACAGCAGGGCCTCCACAACAAAGAATCATCTGGAAAATATCATAAATGCCCCTGTTGACAACTCTATGCTGGAGGAAGAGAACCAAATCGTAAGAGGAAAACTTGGTCTTCAAGTATCTTGGAGGGGGTGGGGGCCAGGGTGTGAAAAAGGAACAAGGGATCTAGAAGACAGGACTCAAGGCAAATGAGGAAAGGCGTGGGCTGTCTGTGGAGGTGGTGGAGTAGTCACGGGAAGTATCCTAGCAGAGAATGGACAGCCACTTTGCCGTGATGCTAAGAAGGGCATTTGAACTGGAGCGTCTGGGGCACAAGGACATTCAGGCAGGGACCGTCATCCCAGATGCAGCTGTACGATGAGAGGGGTCCAACACCCAGACTGGAAGAGGGCCGGTTACAGGAATGATCAGTGTATGGCTCACTGTCTCCACTTCTTTTTCCCTTCAGGTGGGTCCTATCAGCCTGCTGGGCATTGGAGTCCTCACCGTGCACTGCATGGTCATCCTGTTGAACTGCGCCCATCACCTCAGTCAGAGGTGAGAATCCTGCTTCTCTATCACCCCAGTGTCCAGCCCCGTCTGTGTTGAGTTTCCTTTGACCACTGACCCCATTAACCGGCCACTTCTCCAGCCACTGCACCTGCTGCTCTAGATTCTATAGAGCTGGTGGAGAGGATGATAAAGTCCCAACCGAAAACCCCTAAGTCCAGGCCCAGCTCTGCTAACCTGCTGGATGACTTCATCAAGTTCCTGCACCCTCTGACCCTAAATACCCATAACACGGAAAGATCAGAAGTGAAAAGAGATGCAAGCATGCTCTATACACTACCATGCAAGATACTTAGAATGCCCTTCGTCCCTCTTAACTCCCCATGCCCACCCTCCCCCAGCCCCAAGACACACACTTTGAAAGGGGGCTTTGTTCTAGGGAAATTGTCTTTTGAGGACAGTTTAATAAAAGCAAAGAAACATAGTTGAAATGAATAGTTCACAATGGCCCCAGTCATTAATAAAGCATACATACAATACTCAGTGTTTACGTATTTGAAATTCCAATGCAAGAAAAAAAAAATTCCTGAAAGAGAAGTCAAATGCAATGAAGACAAACCATGGTGAGGGTTTTGTATTTATAAACCAACCATCCATGAGTAATTAGTAATTCCTTATAGCCAGCTGCCTGGTGCTTCTCTCTCTGCGGCACTTAGAAGCTCCCACAACACACGAACCCCAAGGGGTCCTTGTAGATGTGCAGAAACTGACCCCAGGGCAAAGTAGAGAGAGATGGTAACTGAAATTCTTCATAAAGCCAAATTATCAAAAGCAAATAGGTGTATCTGGAGTATACATTAGTCACACCTAACTTGTAGGGCACTTTCCAGCTGGCAAAACACTTTTAAGAGCACTTACTTATTCAGCAATTAAATGTATTGCCCCATTACATGTGCCAGGTACATGGCCAGAGCTTTACAAGCCTTCTTTTATTTACTTCTTACAGTAAACCTTTATGGCAGGCACTATCATTAACCCCATCTCACAGATGAGTAAACTGAGATTTAAGTGAGTTAAATGCCTGGCTGAGGATCACATGACTAGGAAGCAGCAGAGCTGGTATTCGAAGGCCTGTCTGACCCCACTCTAACCATTTTGTGTATATTTTCTCCCTCAAAAGCCTGCTGGGACAATTTTATCACCATGTAGGTTTCTGACACCTAAGCCATTCATGATAGCCTTTCCTGATTTTCTTTTCGATGACTTGTTTTTCTTTTCTTTTCTTTTCTTTTTTTTCTAATATAATGGTAATAGACTGATGGCCTAAGAGCTTCACAGTTTTTGTTTTGTTTTAGCCTGGCGATTTAATATTAGAAAAAAAAAAAAAGCAAATTCCAACTTCTCCTTGCCAATTAGACAATCTGGCACCTCTGGGGTCTCATTCCTTCATTCCTCAGGGGCACCGAATCTCAAACTGTCCCTCTTTGGGCGCCTGGGTAGCTCAGTTGATTAAGCATCTGACTTTGGCTCAGGTCACGATCTCACTGTTTATGAGTTCAAATCTCACTTCAGGAGAGCCCTGCTTCTCTCCCCCCCCCCCCGCCCCCACTCACTTGTGCCCTCTCTCTCTCTCTCTCTCTCAACAAAAAAGTCCCTCTCAGAACAGACAGTGGTTTGCCACTGTCTCCCCTCTTCCCCCTCTGTGGCACAACCAGCCCCTCTCACCATATTACTGATACCTGTCTGGCCCCATACCTTTTGAATTTGTAACCCTCATACTAATATGTTTGTCACTTCTATGCAGTGTGACCTCATTTATATTTAGAATGCCAAGCACAATGAGCAATAATAAAAATAGGATTGAGCCATGTTTCCAAAGCATCTCACCATTCGTCTGTCACTGTCCCCTCCCCCACCTCCAGACTGTGTGTGAAAAACACGGAGGCTCAGAAGTCTAAGGAGACTTGCTCAAGGTCTCCTAGCCATCTGAGGGGGTATGTTGAGATTTAAACCCAAGACTCAAGTCTTGGTCTCCTTCCATCTCCCAGCTACTCCCCTCAGTTAGCACTGGGGATCCATTCCTTGGCCACCTGCTCTTCCCACTTGCTCACAGATGGTTCCTCACTAGGGCCTTCCCTGCCTTTAGGAAGGAGCACGCAGGGAAGAGGGACAAGACAGACTGGAACTTGGGTGTCATATCCTACAGGGGTGCTGGGCCAACGCCTGAGTACCACGTTTGCATGGGATCTGGTCTGAGGTAGGCATCTCAAGTGTCCCAACGTCCTCAGCAGTGGGAAGGAAGGAATAAAGTCCAGGAAAGAACATTACTGGCTTGGCCATACCCACAACCCCTCTTCCCATATTTCCTCCTCCCCCTACCTAGGTGTGCACACCTCAAAACTTTCACATCCCTGCTTTCCTGGTTTGCAGACCTAAGTCAATGCACAGTTACTGTTTACTTAAAATTTTTCTTTTACGTAAATATTAGTGTTTAAAGGGACAACTACAGTGGTGCCTGGGTGGCTCAGTCGGTTAAGCATCCGACTTCAGCTCAGGTCATGATCTCACAATTCATGGGTTTAAGCCCTGCATTGGGCTCTGTGCTGACATCTCAGAGCCTGAAGCCTACTTCAGATTCTGTGTCTCCTCTCTCTCTGTCCCTCCCCTGTCTCTCTCTCTTTCTCAAAAATAAATAAACATTTAAAAAAAATTTAAGACAACTACAAAAAAAGAAGAAAAGGCAGATTCCCAAAACCTTTTAAAGTGTATTACACAATATCCCATTAATACCATTCCTGGAAAATTTCCAGGATGTTCCATGTTAACACATAAAGATATAATTACTCATTTCAAATGTAAATTGCACCTTTAACAAAAATGGCTTAAGCTACACATTCTTATCCTTTCCCTAGATTGCAAAAGACTTTTGTGAACTATGGAGAGGCCATGATGTACAGCCTAGAGACCTGCCCAAACACCTGGCTGAGGACCCACTCGGTGTGGGGCAGGTAGTACTCATTGCTGACATACTAGCAGCATAGTAATAACACTGATAATCCTCACTTGACCTTCCTTTCTTTTCGGTTACACAGGCCTAAGTGAACATGTTCTTACAAACCACCGAACAACACAGGGAATCTCCCGATAGCTCCGTCCCCGACCCCTCTTCATCCAATACGTAATCACTGATATATCTAGGTGGTAACTATTCCTCTAAATGTTTTCTCTGCATGTACTTGAATATGCCTGCAAGAGTGGAAATGTAGATTTCATTTTGCATTTTCTCTTACACTAATTAGAATAGCTGTTTTGGGAAATTGGCTCTTTCATTTAACAATACGTTTCTCATTTTTTTCACACTGGGACATAGAAATCTACCTGATTATATATATATTTTTTGTCATTTAATAAAAATGTGGGGTTTCTTCAGTCAACTACAGTCACAATACAACTACTGCCTATTTGCCCTTCTGTATCCATCCTGCCAAACACAAAAGGAAGCATGTACCAGTCAGGCTTTCCTCAAGTGAATCACCACCACGGGCCACTCCTTTGTCAGCGGGGTCCTCTTTCTAAGTATCACAGCTCAGAATGAATGACAGAGTTGGAATCTTCTTTCTTAGAGATCACTGGCCATGAAATGACACAGGTGGAATGATCCAATGGGCCAAGGGGTAGAACACTGTCAAGGTTAAGCAAGGTCCAATGCTGCTCTTCTACGTGATTCTGATCCATGGTACCCAGTGCTCCTGTGGGAGTCAGCCCCCCAGGATAGAGCTGAATGGGCCGCACAGCCTCTGGGAGGTGCCCCATGGGACTTAGCTTCTGCCACATGTCATTTATATCAAGACGATATCATCATAAAATGTGCCCCACCCCCCAAGCCTCCAAGGACAGAGAGCTTTGTCCCTGCTACCCCCACCACATGATCATGCCAGGGGAGTGGAGGTTTTCCAAGTGCCTCTGTCTGTGACCAAGTCACAGGGTTTGCATCAGACACATGTAGCTTCACATCCTGCACGGGCCGGGCACCTCTCTCTCTATCCGCAAAGACATACAGCTGGTTTCCGATGGCTGTGGATGATGTGTGGAATGTTCTTGGGGTTGGCAGGGGGCTGGTCACCTCAGGAATGGTCCACATCTAGTTTCAGAATTCAGAACGTGCAGGCAACTTTGATTTCCTCACTAGTCAGCACGTCCCGACACCCAGATGCTATGAGGTACACAAGAGGGAACAAAGCTGGCGTGCTCGTCACAGGGCAAAAGGCCCTCCAAGGCGGCTAAATCCCACTGGTATCTTCTCGGACCCATGGGGTGGACATCTGTGAAGCTCCTATTTGGATCTGCTCCCCCAACAATGAAGACCTTCCCTCTCTTGATGTCACCAACTGGGGATAAATATGAGCAGCTGTGGCCAACCCGAATACAGGAGCTGTCCCTAGGGGCCGGGGGTCATGGTGTACCATGTTGCTTTCCTGGGCTTGTCTCTAGTCTTCAACACTGGCAGCAGCTTCAGGGTATCCTGTGGCAGCTGTAAGATGGTCCCGGGGTTACCTGATTATTTTTTAAGACTCACGATGTTCCTCAGTGGGGATGTGTGCCAAGTTCATTGGAGCCTTCCCTTAATGGTGAACATTCAAGCTGCTCCCTTGCTTGGTAAAAAGTGCCTGGTATACAAGATGCTTTTCCATATATTAGCTCTTCTGATCATCTCCTACAAGGTTGTGGAGATGGGGTCTTTATTGTCCTGGAAATATGAGATGACCAAGGCTCATATGGAAAAATATAATATGTCCACACACAGATATAGATAGTGGTTGTGCAGAAATTAGAACAAAACCTCACATTTCGGCCTTTCCCAGCAGAGCCCTTCAGGAGGTAGTGAGTCAGTACTGGGGCTGCCAAGATCACTTCTGCAGCTCAGAGGAGCTTGGGGCTCTCAGGAGGTCATTGCTCTCCTGATCAGGAGTCACTCTAATTATCAGACAGCAGAGGTCATGAGGCAGCAATAATGAATGACTCACAATCACTCATCCTTTCTCACCAAGGTTTGTGTTTCCGATAGCACCCCAAAAATAAAACTTTGGAGTAAGAAGCGTTCTTAGAGACCACCATATCCATGCTATTCAATGGAGGAATATAAAGCCTAGATAGGGCAAGAAAGCTGCCCAATGTTACATAGGAATGTAGTGGCAGAGCAAAAACTAGAATCCAGAACACCTAGCTTCCACCCATTACATTGCACCATATCTCCAAAGGCCCAGTAACTGCAGAAGAATTTGGGGAAATATTTTAAGCAATAATTTGTAATTTTGAGTGTGCTAAGAGATACCTGGGAGCTTGATGTAGGCAACAATCGTCAATGATTACTCAAGCCGTTAGGTGAAAGGTCATTGGGAAACTTTATAAAGGAAGACCACACTATCCCACCTGACTCCAGGTATCAATCTTAGCATCTCATATTTAGAAATGAGATAACCAGACACAGTGTGTCTTATAATGAGATACAGTGGAGACTCAGAAATATGTTTACCAGAGAGATAAATAAAGAACCTCAGTCTAGTCAAGCTGCTGGATCTAATATCAGTTCACAGGAGACACAGGGGATGGAGAAACATGATAACTGACATTATGAAGAAGTCATCAACCAGAAATCTAGTAAGTGAAACACACTACAGGATAAATTCTCTGGGGTTTTCAACACTCACCAAAAAGTTAAAAGTTACAAGGAAAAAAAGAAAGCGGAGCAAGGGGAATATAGCAGTTTTAAAAACTTAAGAGACATAATAACAAAATGCAATGTATAGACTTGTTTAGAAATCAGAAGTAAGGGACGCCTGGGTGGCTCAGTCAGTTAAACATTTGGCTCTTGATTTTGGCTCAGATCATGGTCTCACGGTTTGTAAGATCAAGCCCCGCATCAGACTCCATGCTGGGTGTGGAGCCTGCTTAAGATTCTCTCTCTCCTTCTACCGCTCAAGTTCTCTCTCTCACTCTCTATCTCTCAATCTCCAATAAATAAATAAATAAATAAATCAGCAGTAAAATAGATAGTTTCGAGACAACTGGAGAAATCTGAATATGGACTGTTATTAAATGATATAAAGAATTTTTCAAGTGATGATCATGGCATGTTGGAGATAAATACATATGTATTTTAAGTCCTTGTCCATAAGAACAGCATACGGAATTATTTACAGATGAAGTGCCTTGAGTTCTCTAGTTTACTACAAATACTCCAACTAAACAAGCATATGTGTGGTAAAGGGAAAGGGATAGATGGAAGAGGACTGGCCAAAAGCTAATGATTATTGAAGCTGGAATGGGCACATGAAAAACCATCGGATTATTGTCCATTGCTTTTGTCTGTTTGAAAATTTCCATAATAGAGGGAGAGAGAACATCTCTGTTCTGGTCTCACATGACGCCACCAAGCTTCTGATTCAATAAGCTGATACGAGAGCGAGGAATCTGTATTTCTTGCATAAACCTCGGGCAATTTTGATGCAATTGGAACTACAGACCTGCTTTGCAAACCAGCGATCTAAACCAATCTAAGGTCCACGGCCATCCCACGCTGAATGCACCTGACCTCATCTACACTGACCTAAGGAACACATTTTTGTCCCCTTAAAAAAAAAATCAATGCATCTCCAAATTTGAGACAATTGAAGAATCCAAAAAAATAATGACAATAATGGGTTCTTATACATTAGACTAAAAAAATTAAAAAATTAATGTGCAGGGTTTTTTTTTTGTGTGTGCTACAAAAAGAAAAATAAATAAATCTTTCTTAAAAGCCAGTTGATAAATTCAGAAAAAAATGAAAGAATTAGGAAACCATCACCATGCTACCACTGATAAAAGAGTTGATTCAGACATGGGTCATCAATGAACTTTCAGAGGAATGGGATATTCATACCGTCTCAAAGTTTGACCTCTAGATTGTACAACAAGAGTGTACAGCTACAATGGAGAGATCTGACAGCCTTCACCACAGTGGAGCCACAGGATACCAGGTGGTTCCCAATACGATGGAAAAAATACAAAATATTATGCTTGCCAAAAATACTTACCTGAATCTAATCACGAGGAACCAATCATCCAAGTCCATAATGTGGGACATTCTACACGATGATTGGCTTGGGCTATTCTCCAAAAGCCAGTGTCATGGAAAACCAAAAAATGTGGGTGTTCACAGGGCTGTTCTATGTGGATAAAGACTAGAGACAAACCCACATGCAATATATAACCTTGATTAGGTCCTGAATCCAAAAACTAAGTAACAGGGGGGAGGGGCAAGATGGCGGAGAAGTAGGGAACTCCGTACATTGCACTCACCCCATATCTCACACAGAGAAGACCTGAAGCCATAGGAACCCTTACAGAATCCAGGAGTTTGGGAGGAAAAGGAGACAGTGTCCACTGAGAAAACCTTCTAACGTGAGTGAGAACTGGGGAAGATAAAATCGGGCCGGGACCAGAGACACCCCGGTGATCCCCCTCTGCGGGGAGTTAGAGGGTAAAAAGAGGTTGAAACTACTCAAGACACAGTCCCTGTCACAGGGGAACAGAAAAACCTCCGCTCGGAACACAGAGGGACCCGGTCTCCCGCTCTCCAGCTGACCCTAGGCGGGACGCACTCATCCCAAACAAGTCCCTGCACACCAAATCGACCTTGAGGGGCCGCGCAGCGACTGCGCCTTTGTGCTTCTGCCTCAGTTGGATCCCTAGAAGGGAGGAGAAGGGCTTAAAACTGGGAGATTTCCTGAGAGTTCGTGTTTCGGGTGACGAGACACAGAGGGACCCGGTTTCCCGCTCTCCAGCTGACTCTAGGCAGGACGCACTTGTCCCAGGTGACCCCCCGGATGAAACTGCTCCTCGCTCGCCACCCTGACCTGGAGGAGACGGGAGCAGTGGCTTCTGGCTCAATCCCCAGGGGGAAGGCAAGAGGCTTGGAAGTGCCCTGAGGGGATCGCCTGTGAGTTTGCATCTCCGGCAATTTCAG